TTTGAAATAGGATAAATAAACAATCCAAAGCATAAATTTCAGTCGGGGATTTCAGGACGCAGTGCCCCTTTAACCACTGACAAGTACATTTTTTAGTAGGTGAGCTTGATACACACCTGCGGCACGTTCACTGGCTTTACTTACTGTGTTTCAATATGCGGCATGATGATCATTCCACGTTAAGTCTCAGGTATTCCCAAACTTTGACCTGGGCGACTCTATAGATGATGTTACCGTCAACTACTTTGTTTTGCAAACAGATGGAATAAGATGGGTCCCTACAAAAACAAATATGGAGCTCTTTAGTCGGTATATGGCCACTTCTTAGGCGCCGTGCTACTTCTGCGCCGAACTTGAGTGGCGGTAATAGCTCGTAGCACTGCAGTAACTCTTAACGCCGAGCGTACCACATGTACATAGTCGAACCTTAATGCGTCTGGAGTATAATGGGCCAGGTTAAAGCAGTTCAAGCAGCTCAGTGAACTTTCAGCGCTATCAAACTACTTGGACTCGCGCCAATGGAAGAATTTTGAAACGTTGGTGGCAGGGCATGGAGTTTTCAGGTCGTTATTAACCTGGGCCAGGGTTCCAGGAATCCCCCAACAAGGTAACAAAAGTGCTGTTCCGCAGGGGACATTATCTGGGGTTGCGTCTCGATAGTCCGAAGTACCATTGGTCCGAGGTTCCATTGGTCCGACGTCCCGTTGGTCCGACGAAACATAATGCTGTGTAGTTCCACTGGCTCAGGTTGACTGACCCTCATCCTAATACTAACCCCTAATCCAATGGGACTTCGGACCAATGGGACTTCGGACCAATGGGACTTCGGACCAATGGGACTTCGGACCAATGGGACGTTTATACCAATGGAACGTTTATACCAATGGAACGTATTGAGCAATGGGCCGTCGGACCAATGGGACGTCGGACCAATGGGACGTCGGACCAATGGTACTTCGGACTATAGAGACGTCCCCTCCTCTATAATACTTCCTCCTTGGAATGTTAACTGGAGGTGCGTTGGGGAGCGGTTTCGTAAGGGGAGACTTTACTGGCGGGCCTAATGGCATTGGTGATGATGCGCTTGAATGAAGCTTTGCTTGGCTGGTAGATAGTTTCAGATGGTTAGCCGTTCCAAGGCTGTTCTCATAAAGAATGAATATATTGTGCTGATTTGTCTTTATGGATGGAATCTGAAATTGCATGTTGTGTCCCTTTCTTAAGAAAGGTAGAAACTGAACTTTGCCAGCACTGGCACAAGCTTGACCCGTTGAACTCTATCCACAAGGAGCGCAGATTGCAATCTAGTTGAATGAAGACGGAACAGGCAGGTAACATAAGTAGGTAGTGTGTTGTACATGCACTTTCTGTCCCCAAGTACATAGCCTACTCCGTCGGTTTCTTTTAACTTTCAATCGTGGTGAACGATCGGACGCACTTCATCATTCAAGAAATGACGACCGAACTCTTAAGCTCAGGAAGCCGCCGAGCGTGCCTTGAGGAGCAGTTTACGATATAACGATATATTGTCGTGGGCGGAAGAACAGAGATCGTTATTATTTGTATCTGGGTCACACACACAGAGACCAAGTTTCTTGAGTCTCACGGTCCCAATAAGGAGAATGGGTTTAAGTCAACAGACTGATGAACGGCCGTCCGTGTATCGGCAAGTTCCAATTGTGGTTATAGGCCTAATGGCTTTGGAGTATTTAGGTCGTAGTCCCAATTAAGCTTGAACGGTAAAGGAATGCTTATCTGCGCTTGATTCTTTTGAGAATGGGATCACATTATTCACTATAATATAATTCACTTGTCATGTCATGGATGTATTTTCAGCGAATGAGGGCGATATAACGCGTGAGAACAGGCGTAAATCCGTAATTCAAACATTGTCATTCCATTTGACAATCTTTCCAGTTTTAGATCGACCGAAGTCACTAAATTGCTGTAATAAAAGCGATCCTACAACTGCTATACCCAGGAAGGATGTGCATGGATACAGCGCCTCTTTGATTTTCAAGATGGCGTACCCTGAGAAAGGTCCGTAATATAACCTAGATGGAAATTTACTGTAATTTTTGAGTCGATGTAGATGGATGAAAGTATGGATGTTGTTAGTAGTTACAAGGAGTTTGAAATTCAGGTTAACTTATTTCGTGGCACAGTGCAGGACATACATTGCATTATGCACAGTGATACATTTATAGTGAAGGCTGGGCGGGGAGGGGGGGGGGGCAGGTGGGCGTGGACCCCCTCCGAGATAGACTCGGAGGCCTTAACCCCTTCCCCCTCCAAGCTGCTGAAAAAAAAGCTCCGGTTTTTTTTTTTTTTTAATTGAAACTATTTTACCAGTGTGCGCATTTGTGTTTGCCATTTTTTTTTATTGTTGATGTAATGCTGCACCTTTACGCAGAACAGGGATTACTTACACAATAGTCGCGTGTGGGGTTCAACGATCGTCTGGGGTACTTAATTGGCTTATAATTATTGTCGTGCTCATGGAATAGTCGTCCAATAGTTATACTGGTATAGTTATGAAAAGAGGTACTTGAAAATGTCTACAGGAGTGTTTACTTTCATCACAATATAATCTATATTGGTAAACAAGTTGCTTATAGGTGACCTTAACATGCCTATACAGCTTATTGGTAACTATGGTAGCACATGAAAAAATGAACCCGGCGCGCCCGTAGGCCTGTCAGTGATGGGTTTTGAAAATGGAGGTGGGGAGGTGCAAACATTGCCTATAGACTTCGTGCTGGAAGGAAGCCAATTGCAAATCAAAGGGCGGGGGGGGGGGGAACTGCATGGACTCCATCTGATTTATTTTTCAATCTCGGTAAAGTCATTGACCGTAATACGCATGCGTGAAACATATCAAGTGAACAACTAAATATGTCACTTGATTCGGAATAAGTTCTTATACACATGCACACAGGGTGTGTTCGATTATTTCACACGTGTCAGTAAAACTTAAACGAGAGCGTTCCGATAAGCAGTCACGTGATAATCCTCGTGTCGACCCCGATGTCACGGGTCTCTGGTGGCTGCCCAGGCGTGACATCAGTGGACGATGTTGGGGATTGGTAGACTGAAGATGACGGAAACTTGAATACGAAGCGAGTACAGCGAAGAGATTTATGACACAAATATTGCCAATTATCAGCGGTGTTCAATAATTGGCAATATTTTTGATAATTCAGAGCATATCCTCCGACTTCCATTCAGCAATTTTTTATACTGGGGTGTACCCCGAATACTTAAAGCAGAACTGTAGACCGCCCTCCATTTTTATCACAAAGATTTACCGTATGGTGGCGCTATTACCGAACTAATGCTCATTCCGTTTATTTACTTGATCGGGCATATTCATCCCCAGTGGTTACGTTATTTCCAACCTCGTTTCCAACAGTAAGCCCCGGATAGGAAACTTTCTCCCTGTATCCTGATTCGATAGTAATGCATTTATATCGTGAACTTGGTGTTGTTATTTCAAACGTGCATTACGTGTTTTCGCGTTCATTGTAATGATTACGTCCACACCTTCTCATAAATAATCATTTTCTTTCCAATGTGTTCATATTAATATGAAATGTGATACTGCAAATTGTCTCAATAAGATTGTAAACGTTTTAATTTTGAAGAAAAAATATTGTGTTTTCGAAACTCAGGCAATGCTCACGCCGCGACGAATTGATTCTGTTTTTACCCCAGACATCACATTCAAAACAAACGCTGATGTAAAGTACAAGGCGGCACCAGACTAATCCTCATTTGCATACGTGTTCAAAAATGTTGCACATGCAAATGATCCAATACCAGGGTGAGAGAGCAGGTAGTGGTGGGCGCGTACTGCTCGACACTCTGGGAACGAAGTTGTTTGATCGGGCGGTTCCAAACTTCCACTTTTTTTTCTGCGCAGTTTCGCTTCAACGTTCATCTCGTGTTACTGTGCCTAGGCAGAACTTTTCAGATTATCATATCGGTAAGTTTCTTAATTTTCCCACTTTGTTGTATGACAGTATTTGTGTCGTGGGATTTGTGAATGTGGTCAAGGGCGGATCCGGGGGGGGGGGGGGCAAAGGGGGCCATGCCCCCCCCCCAAACGAAACCAATTTTTTTTTTTTTTATGTGACATCGCAATAAAGGCAGGCTATGAGTACACCACCATCTTTTCCTCCAAAAAACATTGGTTAAAGTGGTCAGAAATTGCCTCAGATCGCACCACAGAGCATTTAGAATCCAAAATTTTTCGGGGCCCTTAAGTTGGCCCCGAACCCCACGCCGTAATTTTTTTGACCCACTGTTTTGGGGGACCAAATTTTTTTTTGGCCCCCCAAAAAATTGTGTTCTCGATCCGCCCTTGAATGTGATGACAGAATGATCGGACACTATTATTTCAATGCTTTGTCTTTAGATGCGAAAAATCAAAGTGCACCACGTTAGGGGCCACGCCATGAAAGGGGATACCTAACATCCTGTGTGTGTTTGCATTTATATCAGGAAATTTAACTCTGAAATGAAACTGGAGCTCTTTGTTGGAAAGTTCTATTAATAGTTATGTGACCATGACTTTAGCTTTCCGTTTCAGAAAATGCGTTTCCTTTTATTGTCCCTCCCCCCCGAAAAAAAGTTTCAGGATGTAAAATGAGGTTTGTGTGCATCAGGTTGTGGATGCTAAACGTAAATTATTTGAAAAAAAAGTTATTGTTTATCTCTTATATTAAATTAATGAAGACATTTTTAATTGTTTTGGTTTTGAATGAAACGAAGAGAGTGCAAGGAAGCGTTTGGTTGAACCATAGATCAAGAACCCCATGGTTGAAGTGCTCAACTGCAATTGTGAACAGTCATTTTATCTTTAATGGAAACATTTATTCACCGTTGCATTGTCATGTCCAATTTACATCTTATGCTAAACTCACATCATCGACGGACAAGCGATTATATAAGGCTTCTCCAATTTCGAATTCTCATTTCCAGCTCAATCTACTGATACCATGGCAACCCAGGTGTCAGATGTCGGCCTAGCTCAAGATGCTGCCAAGGCTATTAACACCTTTGCATTTAGTCTCTTCCGAGTGTTGACTGAGGGAGGAAGCTCCAACAACAACATCTTCTTTTCTCCTATGAGCATCTCCACTGCACTCGCTATGACCTTCATGGGGGCACGTGGTGAGACAGCAAGCCAGATGAGTCAAGTACTTCACTTCAACATCTTAGAAGAATCTGTTCTTCATCAGTCATTTGCTGACCTGAGAGCTCTGATTTTCAGTCCTGAAGCTTCCGCTGGTGAGACAGCAAGCCAGATGAGTCAAGTTCCTTCCTCCAAAAGCTCAGAAAAATCTGCTCCTCATCAGTTATTTGCTCGCCTTCGGGCTCGGTTTTTGCGTCCTGCAACTCCTTGCACTCTGGTAGCTGCCAACAGATGCCAACGTCCTGCAACTCCTTGCACTCTGGTAGCTGCCAACAGATTGTTTGGTCCGAAGGGTTTGGATGTCTTTGCGACATTTGTTGACGACAGCAAGAAGTACTACGGAGCCAGTATGGAAATTCTTGATTTCATTGGTGATGGGGAAGGTTCTCGTCAACACATCAACTCCTGGGTGGAGAAGCAAACTGCAAACCGCATCAAAGACTTACTTGCTGCAGGATCAATCGATGATATGACTCGCTTGGTGCTGGTCAATACTATCTACTTCAAAGGAGATTGGGCGGCCAAGTTTGATTATCAGGACACAAATTTTAATGGGAAGTTCCGTACTTTGGGTGGGTCCGAGAATGTTACCATGATGCACCAGACAGAAAAGTTCAACTACGCTCGTGACGATTCCGTGAGCAGTTCCATCCTGGAGCTACCTTACCTCAAGAATGAAGTGAGCATGTTCATTGTGTTACCTGATCAAGTGGATGGGCTGGCTGATCTGCAGAAGAAGTTGAGTCAAGAGAAGATTGACTCTTGGGTGACGGAAGCTCGTATGCGTGACAGCCCTACTGTCATGGTGTATCTTCCAAGGTTTAATCTGGAGCAGGACTTTGTCTTGAATGATGTCTTGAGGAAGATGGGTATGAATGATCCATTTGATGTTGCCAAGGCTGACTTCTCAGGGATGACAGGAGACAAAGATGTCTTCATATCCAAAGCGATCCATAAGGCTTTCTTAAAGGTGAATGAAGAAGGGAGTGAGGCAGCAGCAGCTACATCTTGGTTAATAAGTAAGGGTCTCTCTTATGGACCTCTAGAATTCATGGCAGATCATCCATTCTTGTTGTTTATATATGACAATAAATCCGGAGCAGTTCTGTTTATGGGACAGCTGTGCCAACCAGAACAGTAGACTTTAATTGTGTGGCGAAGTACGGAGAACTGTCAATGACTGTAGAGCTGGTGTCTTGAACTACCTAAACTAAAGAATACTTGATTGATAATGCACCTATACATGTACATGTATATATAATCTTCTGAACAAAAAAATGTTCCCGTACAATTGGTATACTAAACAAAGTATAACAAAACATAAAGATGGAATAAGCTCCTGTTCTTGAACTGTTGCTTTTTGCTTTTAGTTTGTGGAGAAGTTACATGTAAGGACTTCAGGTAAGAGATTTTGTCATGTTGAATTGATAAATATAATCTTCTGAACAAAAAAATGTTCCCGTACAATTGGTATCCTAAACAAAGTATAACAAAATATAAAGATGGAATAAGCTCCTGTTCTTGAACTGTTGTTTTTTGCTTTTAGTTTGTGGAGAAGTTACATGTAAGAACTTCAGGTAAGAGATTTTGTCATCTTGAATTGATAAAGCAATTAATTTTGTTTTGTTGCTAGGGGATGGACAGTGAAACAAAAAGTGTACCACAGAAGCTCGTAATGAATACAACATTAATAACATTATTCACAGATTCTACATGTATATAAAAATATGGATGTTTATGATCATGAAATATTTGAATTGCGACTGACAGACTAATGTATTTGCAACAGGCGTTTATTTCAGCGTGGCACATATTTGAGATGTGAAATGAGGTTATAATAATGAATACAGAAAGTTGGATAAATTTATGAATACTTGAGTTGCAAGGGTGGGGTGGTGGGAGGGGGGCCTGGTACCATATTTCAATGGGGACGCTGTTCAAATTCGACGATTATTTAACACTAGATTACAGAATGGTGTACCGTATTTTGAACCGGCGGACATTATACCAGTATAATTGGGGGGGGGGGGGGGTGTCACGGGGGGGGGGGCGGGGGATTTCGACTTATTTTTTTAGGAATTTGTACGATAATTTTTTTTTGACCAAAAGAAAGTCCCCCCTTAATACTTTTTTGTCTAACTCAAAAACTACTGGGCACATTTTGCTCAAATTACGACTGATCAGCATAGAAATTCCTTAGCAATCCAGCCATACTCCTACTTTGCTACTGCTTATTGGTAACCATTGGTAGTACATGAAACATGTTAACAGTGAACCGCGCCCGTCGGTGATTGAGCGGTATTAACAAAATGTGTGGGTGTGTATGTGTGGACAAGCATTACATTCACTGTGTGGACTTCCGAACAAAAGATGTCCACATAAACCAGGTAGCAGCGACGTTGTGTGGACTTGCCCACGTCCACACATGGTTTTTCCCCTCTGAAAAACAGGTTTAGAGACATTTTTGGGTTAGGTTTATCGGTGGCAAATTGAAGACAAACACTAGAGGGAAATAGAGAAAAAAACTGGGTTGAAAGAGTTTTCACAGTTGGAGTAAAATGAGTTTTTTCACTGTTTTTTCTTAACTACACGAAAACAAAGGAATGCTCACACTAGGTATGTTAAACAAACGTGTGTGTGTGTGTGTGGGTGTGTGGGGGGGGGGGGGGGGCGTCAGGAATTCTTTCCATCTGGCGTAGTAAATTGCACGAATAACTCAGTCCCTTCAAGGCAAAATGCGATTGTTCTGAGGCATTTCTTAAAATAAACCATGAACGTTACGATTTACGTTTACATACCTGAGAAAGCATCGAATCGGATTCGGAGTTCGCAGCCGCTGCACCCTGACTCGGCCCGGCATCCACGGCTGATCATGACACTCGGACGCGCCTGGTCCTAATTCCGTTGTCAAAGGATGCGTCCAGTTGCACGAGGCGACGTTTCTTTAGGGGCGGGGACGTTGGAGAGGACCGGCTTCCACTTCCAGCTTCTCCATGGTGCCTTTCTGCCCTCCGTTAGGGGCCCAGGCGGGAACGTGGTTCCGCAACTCGGGGGGCGGCTCTCGGAATTATTCTGGATCGCCCCAACTGTCCGTGATCGGAGGGCTCGATCCGAAGCATTTCACGGAGATCTTGAAATTGGTGCACAGCATACTAAAAAGGGGGCTAGCTCCCTCATTGACGCTTCCACACTGAGCATCTGCGTTCTCCTCCATTGGGTCAAACATTATTCTCCATTATCGTAGAAATTAAAGGCGATATAAACCGTTCAAAACTGAAGTGTGAGAAAGCATGGGAAAGTGCATCGAATTTGATCCGTAGGGCACGCCCTAATACGCAAAGCGACCGAGGCGCTGTGCACTGATGCATTACTACTCCTCGGCTTAACGCAAAGCCCCATTCTGAATATTGAGGCCGCAATGAATTTCGTTACATATAAAATACCCTGATTTGAATAGCACTAACCTAAGCAAACGTCAGCGACGTGGAATCGTATCCTGCACGGACAATCTTTGTGATAAACACAAGGGCATTCCTTGAAACAGAAACGGGGGACACTGAAGCGGAAATAAATCTGTGTTATGCAGCCCTTGACTAATGCTAGGTTCACACATTCCCGATTTTTAAGATTAACAATTCTTGAGTAAATCGGGGAATATGGTTCTTGGCTGCCTCGGGATGATTGTTCCTTTGTTCGGTGAAGGTTCGTTGAAGATCGGGAAGCTTTTCTTTCAATTTTGATACTTATTTTTGAAGTTGCAATCACTTAAAGCTACGCCGCTGCGCCGCTGGACCGAATGGCTAAATTGTGCGAACGAATTGTTAAATCGTGCGAAATACTGGAAAGATTTCCATATAAGAAGTTAGCAATTTCATGTCATCAAAGTCAATTTGAGCAGTGAGAAAATACAAGCATTTTCTTAGAAAACACTTAGAATTTTTCAGTCCACTCTCATAGGGTTTGTACACAGGGTGTCGAGTGAACTTCTTATATGGAAATCTTTCCGAAATACTCAATACTGGGAACGAATCACGACGTAGTAAACCGTGCAAATCGATTAAGCAACGGGCCCAAAACGTTTCCCCTCTACATTCCCTCTGCTTCCCAGGTTTCGTACCTATGGGACCCTAGAACACATTCCGGTTCATTTTTTTTGTACGGATGTGCTTTTCAAATGAAAAATTTCCCCGAAAATGTGGGGTAAAATCATTCAAAAATGGATTTTTTCTTTTCGAACTTATGGATTTAGCGAGCCCCAGACCTTTACCGAAGAAGAAACTTTCGCCGAAAATTTGGGAGCTGAGATGGTATTTGGAATGTCTCATTGGCCCAATGAGCAGGGTAATAATGATGTAGCGCCTCGAGCACCAACATGCGCTATACAAATACCCATTATTATTTAATACTTATTGTAGTACACTCGACTGAGCTAGCGGGAACAGTTGTCTTTAAAAAGTTAAATGCGCTTTGGGTCAATACTTTAAAGACATCATATGCAAATAAGGTACAAAGATAGCCTCATCCGGGGAAATAGCAAAATTCATGCAACTTTAATATATTTTTTTTACAAGTTATAATAAGACTAACTACAAGTTGAAATTGTTATCTCACAATTCACTGAGGTTAACTTTTTGTAAATATGACAAAGTTAACAAAAACAAAACTCACAATTACTGTGTCGAATATTAAAGCCATCTCAATGTAGTTTGACGTATAAACGTTGACTTTCAAGTGACTTAGAGCAATGATTAATCACCAAAGAAAACTGCATCAACATGGCTTGCAATAAATACAGCGTGTGTCAATAAAAATGTAGCAGTCAATCCAAAAGTATTAAAAATACTAGCACTCACTTTTTGCTAAACTGTCTTTATCCCATCTCATTTGGACACCCCAGTCCAGAGATACAGCTAATTAAAGGGAATATACATGTACATCATTTGCTTTTGCTGTAATTTTCAGAAATGGATGGAATTGGGGGGTTGGAAATATATAGCAAATATAATTACACTGACTTTTTTGAGGTTTTGGGTTCGAAAATGCTATAAAAACCAAGAAAACCAATCATTTTCCTGTAGTCTGGCTCCCTGACTCCATATAAGAAGAAACAGAGCAGTTTACATACATTGGGGAATTGTAAGGTCAGGGAACCAGTCTAGCTGGCTTGTACCCGTTCATAGGTGTGTAATCGATTGCAAACAAGTGCGATGGTCAATTGGGGCCAGTATTTGAAAAAAAGCCAGTTTTTTTCCAACGCTGGTCGGTTTGCAAATGTTGTATTTTCCCTTTAAATGGAAGGGACTTTTCGGATTATCTGCAGACTCTAATTTTTTTTGGGGGGGGGGGGTTTCAATGGTCCGGAAATAAGCCACAAGAGCAACTAAGAAGTGTAGTCGTTTTTATGAATGAGAAATATATCAAACTACAGAATGGTGTATAACAAATGTATAACAAATGTATAACAAATGTACAAGGACGTTGGCTGCACACTATCTACGGCTGTATAAATGCGTGTGTGGCGTGTTTTGTCTGCCAAAGTACCAATGTTTATAATGCTTTCACTGGCCAAAAATGTGTCCACAGAACCAATGATTCACTTTCTATCTTCAACTTGTTATGATTCTTACAAATAATCTATTTGTAAAGAGGTTTTAAATGTTGGGCTTAAACTGAGGGGGAGGGGAGGGGGCAAGAAAACAATTTTATTATCCTCATCCAAGATGTTCAGATTATTTAAGATGTTGCACAGGCAAGTTAAAAACCACACAGCCAGATTTGATATGAGGAAGATATCTATTTGAGAATAATTGCTCTTGCGGCGCTGGACTTGCTCTTGTCAGTGTGTTGATCATCTACTGGTACTTTCAGCTTTTTAGGAGACGGCTACGTAAACAAAGGAAAAACGAAACCAAGTAAACCCTCAACGGCACTGGATGTTACTACGACAACATTTGCTTGAATAAATGAGAGCTGGGGGGGGGGAATTAGTGGTTGAGCTAGGTGGGGCAGAAGGGGGTAGTGAGAGCTAGATTGACTTGGGAGGGGCAGGAGGGGGTAGTGACAGCTAGACTGACTAGGGTGGGGCAGGAGGGGGTAGTGACAGCTAGACTGACTTGGGTGGGGCAGGAGGGGGTAGTGCTAGCTAGATTGACTTGGGTGGGGCAGGAGGGGGTAAGTGACAGCTAGACTGACTTGGGTGGGGCAGGAGGGGGTAGTGGCAGCTAGACTGACTTGGGTGGGGCAGGAGGGGGTAAGTGACAGCAAGACTGACTTGGGTGGGGCAGGAGGGGATAAGTGGTAGCAAGACTGACTTGGGTGGGGCAGGAGGGGGTAGTGCTAGCTAGATTGACTTGGGTGGGGCAGGAGGGGGTAGTGACAGCTAGATTGAATTGGGTGGGGCAGGAGGGGGTAGGGACAGCTAGACTGACTTGGGTGGGGCAGGAGGGGGTAGTGACAGCTAGACTGACTTGGGTGGGGCAGGAGGGAGTAGTGACAGCTAGACTGACTTGGGTGGGGCAGGAGGGGGTAGTGACAGCTAGACTGACTTGGGTGGGGCAGGAGGGGGTAGTGACAGCTAGACTGACTTGGGTGGGGCAGGAGGGGGTAAGTGACAGCTAGACTGACTTGGGTGGGGCAGGAGGGGGTAAGTGACAGCTAGACTGACTAGGGTGGGGCAGGAGGGGGTAGTGACAGCTAGATTGACTTGGGTTGGGCAGGAGAGTTAGGGTATGGACAGATCCTCTTACCTTCTCCCAGCGTTCCACCAACTTGCTGTACTCTGCCGTGTAGAACTGAAACACCTCTTCGCAATCTCGCCTGATCTCGTGGCCAGGAGGGTTGTACTGTACACAGTTGTTGTGTACCAACGTCATGTCGCTATGGAAACCCACAAAATCATCATACTGTCCACTCTGAATAGAAAGAAATTATACAAAAAAAACCATTACCGCTGACTTTTTTTAAAGATCAAATTGCACTGGGCGACCCCGCTTTCATCTCTTAATAAAATGTATTGATATAATTTGTGGTCACATTGTGTACAATTGTTTAATATTGTTCGAGGGTAAGTTGTCATAAAAACAACATTTGTCTTTCCGTGACACAGATAATTACATGAAGGAACTGAAATGTACCTTATTGCGCAACAATTGTTTTTTTTTTTTTTACAAAATATTGTTATTTAGAAAGAGCACTTCAAAGTAGGATAAAAATGTCCACACAACCATCCTTTAAACATTGGGCATTTTTGTATTATTCTTGCGAGAACAGATTTCGGGGGTCACAACTTTGACTCTCAAAAATCGGGCCGTTGGGTGCTAGTATTGTATCCTGCCGCACATGTTTCACTAGTGCATCGCATTTTGCGGACGTGCGAGAAACAACATTTGTGTTTTGGTGCTGTGTGTATTAAGTGTCACACACACAACGTGTACCGTACACGAATGGACACGGCTAGAAAAGGTATGCGTTTGCCGTTAAATGTCCGCCGCATCAGAAGTAAACAATCAGGTTTTTTTTTCTTTTCTCGGTAAGGTAAGACATTAGGTTAGTTGCCTTTTAACCAGACCTTTGAAATAGGATAACAATCCAGAACAAATTTTTTTCAGGAGATTTGAAAGGTGGACCTCAAATTACCAAAAGGACTATCTGAGACAATAAGATCAAATACCTCTAGTTTCCTTTTAACTGTTCCGAAGTCCATTGGATTCTTGATGACTCGACTGTAACCAGGTGCTTCAGCTACTGCCACTAACAAAAATTAATAAAATGTTTAGTGAATAAAAACGAAAACAATCAATACAAACAAAATGAGCATCCATGTCACTGAATATTTGTTGGATTCCCCCCCCCAATATTTTAAACCTCATAATTCATAATTTTATCTCAACAAGGTGAGTAAAAAAATAAGAAAACCTGATTGGCGTCCCCTATTTTGTACAGAAGTTCTGCATGTAGCGCTTTACAGATCCAGGATATGAAAGCCCAATTAATAAGCTTTCTTTTAGTACAAAATCATTGAAATCACTCATGTACTTTTTGAGTTTTGATATTTTGAAAACAAACACAGTTTTAAATTTTAAGGTGATATTTCAGTAAAATGAATCCACGTCGTATCATGAAAACGATATCAGAAGAATATCATGTCTCCGGGTAGCCAAGTAGAAGGCAGGGCAAGACTATAAACTCTTGACATTATATAGCATGTTGTTTTAACATTATAGGTAGAAGGTGTTTAATAAAGGTTACAATAAGTGGCCGTTCTCATGGTTATGAGAGTGTTCTGATGCGTTTTTTTATATGAATGAAGTGGAAATAAAATGAGGAAAATGAAAAATGAAAAAATAAATATATATATATTGATGACCTTCTAAGAGTGTTTTAGGCCAAAGAAAAAAGTCTCCGGTTTCTGGTATGCGCACGCGTCGCCGTAGCCATGCGCATCGGCAAAATGAAAAAAAAAATTTTTCAATGAAAGATGATATCTCAAAACCGCCAAACTCACTGGTTTGACTGGAATCCTGCTGCTGCACAATTTTAACGTGTTTTTAGATGGGGTTATGATCGAGAATAAGCTTTATGTGGCCTCTCTGGACTCCCATATATTTGCACTAAGTTTAGTCGGGCACCATTTGCAGTCATCAGCTGACATTTGAGGCAAAAAAAAAATCAGGTAAAAAAAAAAAAAAGGCGCGTCGCCGCACCACTTTTTTGGCAAGCTCCATACCTGAAACCGGAGACTTCTGTTTTTTGGCCTTAGTTTAATGTAACAATGGACATGAAACATAATGGCGTCAGTCTTTGTTTAGTTGTGCGCTTTCCTAGTGGGAGCCAGGTAGGGGCGATTGGCTGGTGTCCCAACCTGGCTCCCGTAGGAAAGCGCACATGTAAACAAAGCGTGACGTCATTATGTCTGAGGTCTATTACCTGGTCTGGTAAACCAAGAAGCTGCATTCAAATCTCCTTTTGATCGATTGGCTCCTCTGAATCGCATCACCCTCTGCAACAAACTGAAACGCATTCAACATATAATTTACATTTACCTGCGACTTGCACGAACGACAACCATAATGTTACATTATGGACCACTCGACAGTTGACTTGACACAGCTAGACATGGTCTAGGCTCATTGTTAGAAAGTGTTGGCCCTTATCCTAACACAAAACCCGAGACAAACTTAATGGGCCCATGAAATGTAATTTTAAATGCAATCCTTGCAAATTCACCTTTGTGTCCCATTTAACATTATTTTTAGTTTTCGTTTTGCCATTTTCAAGGGTTTTGGATGCCTTTTTATAGGATTTTATGCTGATACAAATTTCCATATTCTTGAACAAAAGTGTTTTTTTTTTAGGCCGAAACCTCAATGTTACAGCTATTTCAGCACCAAAAGTTGTCAGAATTTTGGATATTTTGCTGTTGTAAATTTTCTTTTATTTGGTGATTCTTTGTTGTGTCACAATATGGCAGTAAGCCTATGAGCAAACATTTTCTCACAAATGTTTTCAATGAACAACGTTTGGGTTCACTTTTGGAAAAAAAACACCTAAACTGTACTGAACAGTGTCTTCCTGAAATAACATCACGGCAACATCGCCCTCAGTTGTCCGGAAAAGCATGGAAAATTTTACATCTTTTAAAAAGTGAACATTTCAATGAAATTAACAAGAAGAAAAGCCAAATAGTTTTCATACATATCAGAGGAGTGGAAAGTTGCACAAAATGTGTTCCTAAGAAAAAAAATCATCTCATGAACCCTTTAAAACCGGTTGTCTTACTTGAATGCTGCCCTCGCCCAGCTAGACATACTAGTTGGGCCAGGCTCTTCATCGATGGGTGCTGGTGCCTTACGCTTGCGATTACTAATTCGAACGCCCTGTGTCTCCTCAGATCCGGACCCAGCGCTCGTGGTAACGTTAGGACTGTTTCCTGCAAAAGATAACAAGGAATCAATTTCACAGGTAGTTCAGATGACTATTATGGTGAAAAAACCTTTCTTTGATTGGGTAATTCTGCAAACTATGGTTTAAAAATTACAATATCAACAAGCGAATGTGGCATCACAGGTGATGTTTTGATGTTGTAGAGAATGTTGAAAATACAAGATACTTTACACACTGTCATGCCGTGAATCCTCTTTTTACCAGAACACCTGAGTATGGGCTCCGTGCGCCGACGAAAGAGGGCGCCCTTTTACCTAGCAACGACGTCCCATGGGCGGGTCATTTCGTTGGTTGATGCGCACCGTTCCTTGTGTGTGACAAATGGACACCAGGGGATTTGTACTACGTACACGCAGTGGCCGCGCTTCGCAGCAAATGATGAATTGCAGTCAGGCAAGATGGCGTCGGTTGGTCACCCCCAACTGTACTCTCTTTGCCGGTGAGGGGGTACTTGTGAACGGAGCGGATAGAGCTTTTATTCGGGTTTTCTAACCAGGATTTCTGTCTTCTATTATCTCAAGCTGTATTCCCCTTGGGGGAGTTTACTGCAGGACGAATGCCCACACCAGCAGGGAAGAATTAGTTTTGCTTGACTGAATGACATGTGGTTCATCATGCCCAAACTTTTTAAACACATGCAGATTTTCAAAAAATCAACAGCCAACATTTGTGAATGTGATGCGATATAATGAGTCGTTTGTCGACCCTGGTTATTTTTTTTTTACAGATTTGAAAAGAGCACAATGTTAGCATTACTGCTGTGAAAACCGCATGCTGGTACTATCTTTAGTTCAAAAATTATGGAAGTTGGAACACCAAGAGATGTGATGAAGTGATGTGATGAAGTGGCCCTATTTTGGCCTGCATCTCAAAATGAAAGTTCCCAACAAACGACTCATTTAGCTGGATCGCATCACAATTGTTTTTATCAAGTAATGACTTCTTCGTTTCTGTGGTAATTTATTGTTGTCAGTACAAAGCCGTAAGCCAATTAGCAAACTTTTCTCACAAATGTTTTCAATGAATACATTTTGGGTTCACAATTTGAACAGAAAACCCCTAACCTGAACAGTGTCTTCCTGAAATTTTATCACAGCAACAGCGCCCTCAGTTGTCTGGAAAAGCATGGAATTTGTTTACTGTTTTAACGAAGTGCACTTTCAATCAAATTAACCAAAAAAGGATTGTCAAATAGCTTTTATACATTTAACAGGAGTAGGAAGTTGCACAAAATGTGTTCCTCAAAAAAATGTATTTTAAGGACCCTTTAAACTGACAGTACCCTAACAATCTTGGCCCTATGAGTAAACAGACCATTCTTACCTTTCATCTTGACCGGACTGGTCTCGGGGCTTGTTGTATCATTCTGTTTATCGTCTTCAACATCTTCATCGTCTTGAAGTCTCTGACTGGTGAAATCTTCTAACTTCATCTGTGAAATGTCAACAGAGCTGGATTCCATGACGACGCTAGCGCCTCCTTTCTGACCAGACATCTCAAAATCCTAAAAAAGAAAAAAAAAGAAGGACATTCAAAATACGTCTCACTAAATCAACTTCGGTACCTAATCAGTCAGACAGTGTACACTTACTAACACAAGCTCAAAGTAACTACGAGGCGAGTCAAAAAGAAAGTGACAAAATGAGCAAAAACAAATAAACAAAATATGTGGTTCGCTCCTTTCAATAAAAATAACATCTAGGGATAAAGTACATACAATTGACTAGTAAACGTGAAGATTTCACGTAATTTGCGTACTACAGTCACAAGTTATGTCAATTAAAAAAAAAAACATCACAAAATTCGACTGTTCACCAATGATCATTTACCGTCCAAATACCATGAAACAAGGGCGTTTTTCTGCCTCCATGAATGAACAAAAATTTGCACAGGGAAAAGACAAAAAATCACCATCATTATTTCAGAAAAAAAAAAAATAAAAAAAAAAATTGTTCTACTTACCGGTTTGTTTCTCCAGGGTGATAATGCTGTGTCGGCTGCAACACTCGAGCCGGATGCTCCATCAGACCATTTACTAACAGGTGTCGATTGGGCAGGTGTCAACAGCGATTTACCTGCGGACACTCCAGTAAGCGATTGAAAGGAATCGGCAGACTGTCCAGTCACTTGGGATTGAGACGACGGGTCACCTTGACTCTGCCCCTGACCCTGTAAGCCCTCGCTTTCTAAGAATTGTTCAAACTGATCCACAAATGATGACACATCCTCCGACGAAACGTTAACTCGTTCCGAGACGACGCCTTGATCCTCAACGGTGACTTGTTGCGATTCGTTGCCCTTCTGTAATTGTCCCTTGTTGGGAGGGCTAGCAGCTGGCACTGCACTGGGAGAACGTGTTCCTCCATCTTGTGAACTGCTCGTAGGCACTGCTTGCACCAGAGACAAGTCTTGTTTGGCTTGACAAAGGGTTTGGTTCTGTCCTTGGAGAGCTTTCTCAACTTCGGCGGTCGACGACGGAAGGCAGGATGCAGGGGAAGCTGGCTTGGCTGATGATGAGATAAAACAGAAGATTCAGTAAATCCATCCACAGAATACTTCCCTACAAAGTACCAGGAAAAAATTTGAAACTTCTCTTTGATTTGGGCTACTTCCAGACTAATTTCTAGCTCAACACCTTTTATTTGGGGGGGGGGAATCGTTAGGGGTGTTCTCTTTAGCTTTGCTGCAGCAGTGCAATTCTTAAATTTGGTCTTTGCAGTATGTAATAAATGTCTGGAAAAAAATATTTTAACCTTTTTCTTACCACATTGTTTTACCATGGCTCTCCCCAGAACCAATTTGTTTGCTCAGTCATATGCAAATCACTAAAGCGTGAAAAATGGACAACTTGAAAATTCACCTTTTTTCAAGCTAGATTTTCAATGCCAAGGAGTAATTAAAATCGAAGGTGTTGTGTGAAGTTTGTTTCTGGAACTTTACTCTTTTATGTGATGTAAAAATCAACGCCATATGCACACAACTATGAAAGTTATGCCCGTTTGTTGATCGGGTCCCAGGTATCATACTGCAAGCCAGTTCACCACATGACCAAATGGCACTCCATACCTCAAATTGTAAGTGGATACTTCTGAAGCACTTTCCTTACATTGTTGTAATGGTAACACTATGAATAAACTACACCATAAGGATCCAACAACACTGTATCAGCTGGTATATGGTTGATATATGGGCGGCCAAACATACCGACACGCCAGCTTGCTGAAAAGCAGTGAATAAATCCATGTTGAGGGTGTTCTGTTTGTGGTTTCCTGGTCAACTAAGGTCGCCTACGGTAAGGGGGGGGGGGGGTTTAAAGCTATAGTCCATCATTTGCAGCCATCCGAAAAGTAACTGGCGTAATTATTGTTGAAAAACAAACTTGGTTGAAAGATAGTAAGGGGACTAAACTCCCTGTGAAATTATTCTTTCTGGGAAGCTGTCATTTTGAAGTAATCAACGAAAGAAGGCATTTCCAACGGTGATTCTTAAGAAGCACCGTAGGAAAATTTAAATTAGTAGTTCGTTTTGTTATTCGGCGCAGCGCGCACCAGTATTGGAACGACGCACACGCGCGCGCGGTTGTTATAATTCGTCGGATCAGTGCGCGACGTCGCGTATAGCTGCAATTCAAAACAATTCAAAACATGATTCAGTAACTTTTGATTTGAAATTGAGATCTTAGAATGCTGTTTTTCTCGGAATGTACAGCTGAAGCTGAGCTGAAACTTCATCAAGTAAGTTGTTCAGTATCCTTCATTAGATTTTGAACACGTTTGTTGCTTCAAACGAACAAAATGCACTAATTACAAATGATGGACTATAGCTTTAATGGGAACTACATGTACTTCTAGACTGATTGCTGCATGAATACCTGGTCTATCAGACATCAATGCCTTCTTCAGTCGGCTCTGCATATTAGACAAAAGAGCCGGGGACGACCGACTAACGCCTTCGACCGGAGATCCGACCGTCGTCATATCTGTTGCATGATGGGATACTCTCGTCGTCAGTAACGGATGATGGGGTAATCTTGACGGAGCCGTTGTAAACTGAGTCGATGGCATGGCAGGAAACGAGGTGGACTTGGTCGTTGACTTGGATCCGATATGACTGAGATCTATCGTCTGGGAATGTTTCCGTGCATCTGTACAGGAATTCAGCCACAATTAACATGACTACTTTTAGAAGAAGTTTCTATTTTGGTTTCAAGTAAGCACCGTCTATATATCAATATTACTCGATAATTCGATATTATTTTGATATCTATATCGTCGATAGCAATTTGTTTGCTCATATTGAAATATCGAAAATATTGATATTGAGATATATATGAAATCGAAAATATCAAAATGTGTCAGATTATTGTCAAAATTAATCTCCCGTTTGTGCTTCTGATTTTTGTTTTAACATTTGCTGTATAAAGAAATAAAACTAGGCGGCAACATCATAGAATAAAACATCACGAAATGCCACGCTATGTGCTCTGCGTTTAATAGCTGGAATTCCCGGTCTCCCTAATGAAAAACCTCAAAAGAATTGCCCGTTTTGAACAAACTCTCCATGCTGAGATTTGTTTTAAAAGATTCAGCAATATGCTGCAGAAAAAACATGTTGGAAAATTGGAACTTAAGATTTTTTTTCTGCTTGACGAAGTTCCGTTGTCTGTAATTTTTCCACATTTTCTTTAACTTTTACATGGGATAATCGATATATTGAATATTCTCGATATTGGATTTCCGATATATCGATTGTTGAAAATTCTGTTATTGACGGTGCTTTGTTTCAAGTCCTGTTCAGAGATGCTTTAGCAGCATGCACGAATGCTTATGTGCAAACATACAAGGTGTCCTAAAAACTACACGAACCCTGAAAGGCCCATTCCTTTTCAGTTTTTGTCTTGCCATGATGACTGATAGCATTTTCACAACATGAAGGATTTTGCAAAGCTTACTTAACGCAGTACTGAAATTGAATAAGACAAGGAACTTGGTCACAGTGTCCAAAACTGTTGTTGCGATCAATTGACAATTGTGCAGTGATGCGTGACTGAAATCAAATGGGACTCATAGGGGTTGAGGCCAAGGCTTAGGAGTATCTGCACAACCAAACAGTTTCAAAATTGACCTCATGGTTTTGTAGTTATTTCAGAAATAGTCAGACAGACACTTTTTTGGGGGGACAAACTGTAGTAGACCGGTTTACCTGGATGTGATCTGAACTCCAGTAGCGCCTTGATTGCAGACGAAGCAGAGGAATTGGGCGGAGTTCCATCATAATCAATCCATTCACTATTGGGATGTGAGTAACCACTAAGAAGTCCTCGGGTCAAACTTCCTGGATAATCTATGAAGGGGGATCAAGAAGTAATACATTAACCCTATGGCCAAAAAAAAGTCTCCGGTTTCTGGTATGGAGCTTGCCCAAAAAGTGGTGCAGCGACGCGGCATTTTTTTTTTTTTTACCTGATTTTTTTTGCTTCAAATGTCGGCTGATGACTGCAAATGGTGCCCGACTAAACTTACTGCAAATATATGGGAGTCCAGAGAGGCCACATGGAGCTTATTCTCGACCATAACCCAATCTAAAAACACGTTAAAATTGTGCAGCAGCAGGATTCCAGTCAAACCAGTGAGTTTGGCAGTTTTGAGACATCATCTTTGATTGAAAAAAAAAACTTTTTCATTTTGCCGACGCACATGGCTACGGCGACGCGCGCGCATACCAGAAACCGGAGACTTTTTTGGGGGGGCCTAACCCCTTGGGTATCTTTACTAGAAAGTATCCTGAATCCACCAAAATCTACCAAATATGTCACGCCTCAAATGTTGGAGTTGGTGACTGCTCAATACTGAGGTTAGGGAACCAGACTACAAAAACCGGAATAATATTTATTTGTTTTTCCAACACCAAACTTTGAACAGGTAGGGGTGTAACAATATTTGCTATAAAATACTAACCCCCAAATCCCTCCATGCCTGAAAATTACAGCAAAAGCTGTAATAAAATATTTTGCTGTACCGGTGATAAAATATATTGCAATTGTGCAACTTGACAAGGAATTAACACATATAAGTTACCTCTGTTTTGTTTGCCAATTTGTACATCTTCCTTTGTCCCTGTATTCCCACTGCTCTGTGGTGTGCTTGGAGACCCAGATCCACCAGGACGTTTCTGCAATTAAGAGTGAACTTGTTATAATGTGTACTTGCAAGAAAGCAAATGAGCTGCTTTGGATCCATCCACGTTCAAATTCTTGGCTAAAAATCGCATCACTCCTTTAAGATTTAGCAACATGTCTAGATGCAGCTGATTCTAGCTGGCATTGGCCCAGAACGACTTAAATGTACAGGGTGAGTCAAAAAGAAAGCGACCTGGATTAATGGCTTTTTTTCTTAAAAGGCAATCAAATTTGATACACCAATGAAGTATGTCTTCAAAGAACATGTTCTGTCACTCATCTGAAAAAAAAAATTACTGAAATTGATACATGCTATCAGAAGTTATGCATTTTTTACTAAAAGAACCCATCATTGTTATAGCTGTCCATGGAATGCCATTGGAAGCTATTGAGCTGAGTGAGAATTACAGATTACACACAGGCATTCAAAATACAAATGAGATTTTAATCATTTAAGTCAAGACTGTGTCAGTATTTTTATTGTAAGATTGTGTGTTTTTGAATATAAGGAACAAGTCAACTCTTTGTTGCCCCTGAAAGTGATGGCGATTTTTGTCTGTTTTCTTTTGCAAGTTTTCGTTCATTAATGGAGGTGGGAAAACATTCATGTTTCATTGTATTTAATGGGTATTCATCAGTTCGTAGAACGGTAAATGATCAGTGGTGGACAGCTGAATTTTGTGATCTCTTTCTAAAAAATTGACATATCTTGGGAACGGAGAATGTAAATTATGTGAAATTTTCACAGTCACTAGTCAATAAAATGTACTTTATCCCTATACTATTTTAATGAAATAACAGCCGTAAACAATTTTTTTTTCCAATTCAGTTACTTACTTTTGGCTCACCCTGTATAACAATTTGAGTCATGTGATTTGACCCAACATCAACCTAAACCACCTGATGCAATCCAGAAAATCTAAGAACATCAGAGAATACCTGACTAGATGGAGCTCCGGGCGTTACCATGGTGATTGGACTTCTCATCCGTCTCGAGCCGGCAGATTTGACGGTGGTCATAGCGATACTGCTGGTACTTTGCGGCGAGGGAAAACGAATGCCGGTCGACATGAAGCTTGGAGCCGTGGTGGTAGTAGCAGCTGAAGGCACCATGGAGATTCTCGGCCGATGTAGGAGTGGACTCGTCATGTGTGCCTGCAAATTCATAATGTCATTAATAAGATTCTTGTGGAGTAGCTATTAACAGCCCATTAAACCCCTCCTTCTTAGAAATTCGTGGAAGTTGCGGGAGTGCACTGTTAGCGAATCATTTTTTTTGCGACATATGTGACCTGTTCTGTCAAAATCAGACTTTTCTGGGCATAAGGTCGAAAATGATAGTTTTACATATTGTTAACATATGTTCTTTTTCCTTTTAATAGGTGGTTTAATTTTTGAAACCGGTCATTCCTGGGCAGAGTTATGCTATTTTGAAGTTCAATGTGTTGAAAAGTAGAAAACGGAGAAAATGGCCACGAACGTCACAAAACAGTTATTTCTTTAACTGATATACCTTATCAAAATCATCAAAAATAGTATATGTAGAGTTCAAATTAGGGTTTCAAACTTTTATAAAATATTTTAGACATGTTCAGGATTACAAATATGCAAAAATTTGAAAATCGATAAAAATCACCCCCACAACGTTTTTTGGCCCTATCTCAATTTCAACCTCTGCCCAGAAGCGTCTGCTTTTGACAGAACAGGTCACATATGTTCTGATCGTACTTCTGTGCTTATCTGAAGTTAAGTTCAGTTCAAAAGTCAAGAGAGGGCGCACTTCCAGTAGGGCACAAGACGGCACTATTTAAACAGACAGATGCTATTTTGAGTACCAGCAACTCAAAATCGCTATATCGAACAACCGCTATTACAAACATTTTCTGTGGAACCAACGATGTTCGTTATAGCGGCGTTCCACTGTATTTACCTTTAAAGCTATGGTCCATCATTTGCAGCCATCCGAAAAGGTAACTGGCGTATTATTGTTGAAAAACATACTTGGTTGAAAGATAGTGGACTAAACTCCCTGTGAAATTATTCTTTCTGGCAAGCTGTCATTTTGAAGTAATCAACGAAAGAAGGCCTTTCCAACGGTGCGTCTTAAGACGCACCGTAGGAAAATTTAAATTAGTAGTTCATTTTGTTATTCGGCGCAGCGCGCGCAAGCATTGGCACGACGCACAGGCGCGCGCGGCTGCTATAATTCATCGGATCAGTACGCGACATCGCGTATAGCTGCAATTCAAAACATGATTCAGAAACTTTTGATTTGAAATTGAGATCCTAGAATGCTGTTTTTCTCGGAATACACAGCTGAAGCTGAGCTGAAACTTCATCAGGTTAGTTGTTCAGTATCCTTCATTAGATTTTGAACACTTCTATTGCATCAAACGAACAAAATTCACAAATTACAAATGATGGACTATATCTTTAAGTCGGTTATTTTACAGACACTTTGGGCAACAACTTACCTGAGGGCTCTTGGAGGGGTCTGAGGCAACTGCTTGGGATCCGTGGGAGTAGGATTTATGCATAATTACGCTGGGCTTACTGCTGATTATCTGCGTCATACTCGTCAAAGATGGACTGACATCTAAACACGACAATGACATGAAGTCTGGTTAAAGATTGTGTGTGTTAAGGGGAATCTGTCAAAAACATCCACAATTGTATCGTCGGTCGCACCACGAAGTGACATATCGTGTGCACGATGTCCATAGACGATGCGTCACTTCGCGGTGCAGCCGACGGCATGTATGTATATAAACACTGCAAAAAAAAAGAAAGTCCACACTCATAGGAGGGGTCATAATTTTGAATCGGATCATCTTATGATGACATCATATATATAGACCATTTGGGAATTTTGCTAGCTACATGTTGATACCCCGTTTGCTACCAAAGACTGTAAATTGTCCAAGATTGACAAGGGTTTATAAAAAATGATGCGGTGTTAAAAGTTGCAAATTTAAACACGACGCGAGGAGAAACTGCTAAGCGTAACCACACATGCCAGTAATAGGCCCCTGTCGACTGCACAGTGCCCGAACAAAGTGCAGGAAATTTAACTTCGCGTGCTCCCATGCATGCAAGCACTGTGCGATCGGTATTCCCTGCCGTTCGTTTCGGGCAGTGTGACATTGTGTGACAGCAGTTTCCACTCGCTTGCTCATTGAATTTACCGTCAACCGTGCCTGTGTATTAAAACAGCCAGTGCGTGCTATCATGTCCTCCGACGCGAACTGGTTATTTAAGGTTTCAAATTATTGAACAGTTGAGATTAAAACAGGGTGAACACGCCCAGTTGCTGCTGCATGCAGGAATACCAATATCAGGCTGGTTTGATTGTTTGTGTAGAATGTTGTTGAAATAATAATGAAAAATTCACATTTTGATCGGCTTGTACAAGTATATGCACAGCCCCAACTGTTGGGTGTATGCACTGCGTGCCTACTCCAACTCACAAGAAGCCGTTTGCAAATTAAATTTGAGTAACATCTAGTACCCTGACTTGCTCGAATGCTTGGCACATAATAACTTTCAATTCTCCAGACCAAAGAGATTGTTGCTATATCACGTGATTCGGGGCAAGCCTTATGCTAGCAACCCCCAGCTCCGGCATGGTCTGGTGTCTTTGTGCCATTCTCACCCATTGTGAGCAATGTATTGGTGCTGAGCGTCTCTTACGCAATTATGCAAGAGCTTCCCAGAATCATGTGATAAAGCAACAGTGTCTTTGGTCTGGAGAATTCAAAGTTAAAGCGTGCCAAGCATTATGAGTAAGTCAGTGTACCAGATGTTGTTCAAATGTAACTCACAAAGGGTAACGGTTATTCGCAAATGGCTTACTGTAGATCAGGGATATTTTTTCTTGATTAAATCTTAAAGAATAGGATAAGGGGGGGGGGGAGGGGTAGTTGTGTGCATGTGTACCACTTACTTGCAGTTGTCGTTGCTTTGATAGTTTGTACCATCTTTGGATTCATGACGTTCATCGCACTGCCGGGTACCAGTTTGGAGCCGACTGTACTCATGCTGCTCACTGTACCACTTGGCTTCGTTCGTATCAGAGGTGTCGTCATAGCAACGTGATGAGGTGAAATGCCCGCAGACGTTGTGCTGATTATGACCTTATGACCTTCAAAGGTTGATCAAAACAAACACTGAACTATGTTGACAAAGTCAAATCATTTCCAAGGGGGGAATTCGAAGGACGGCACAATTCTGGTCTCAAACACACAAGTGCATTTTGATAGCCAATACACACCTATTTTGGCATTGACACACCTACTTGTGCACTGATGCACCTATTTGGGCATTGATGCACCTAATGGGCATTGATGCACCTATTTGGGCATTGATGCACCTAATGGGCATTGATGCACCTATTTGGGCATTGATGCACCTAATGGGCATTGATGCACCTATTTGGGCATTGATGCACCTAATGGGCATTGACACACCCATTTGGACATTGACAAAACTATTTGGCCACTGACACACTTTTTGGGGCACTGATATACCTATTTAGGCATTGACATACCTATTTGGACATTGACACACCTATTTGGGCATTGACACACATATTTGGGTATTGACACACCAATATGGGCATTGACACACCCATTTGGACATTTACACACCTATTTGGGCATTGACAAAACTATTTGGCCACTGACACACTTTTTTGGGCACTGATATACCTATTTAGGCATTGACATACCTATTTGGGCATTGACATACCTATTTGGGCATTGACACGCCTATTTGGGAATTGACACACGTATTTGGGCATTGACACACCAATTTTGGCATTGACACAGGTTTTTTTTCTGATGGCAAGTGTTTTGCACGCATTTTGTGTGAAGCACAGCTCCATCTTAGACGTATAAAGTCTATGCTATTAGGAGACCTCTGTGTGTTTACATACTAACCTGTCGAGGTGGTCACAGGCTTTCCAGTTGCCATAGTAGCTGTTGCCATGGACGCTTTGTATGGTGTTTCTAATGGAGGAGACTGATTGGATGATCGTTGTTTGCCGCCGACAGCCATCGACTGAGTTGCAATTTTCATCCCTGTATGTGACAAAATTGAACAGACAAGTTAAATAGCAATGATTAAATTTTCCCAAATCATGGAAGAGCAAGGACTTGGAGTTGCTGGCCAGCAGCATAAAACTGTTTGTCTGGTTTCAAACCTTTAGAGTCGGAAAAACAATAAAATACATATAATTATACGGTAAACTCCTGTTAAGTCAAATCTCAAGGGAATGGATAAAAAATTTGAGGTATCCTGAGTTTGAGTTAAGCAAGGTTCCTGATTTTTCTACAGTCATGCCATCTACACGTGCATGTATGTACATGAATGGCTTCCATCATAACTCTCCATGCAATGGACAGGTTATTTGAAACACTTTCCTTTGTTTTTGTTCATTCTAACGGTGTTTATTTTTTAGTCGCATAGCATCATTTTACTCAGATTTCATGTTGGTCTTACCTAAAACGCGACATTAAACTGCCTTAAAGGGAATGTACATCATTGGCTTTTGCTGTAATTTTCAGAAATGGAGTATTTGAGGGGTTAGTATAATATATCAAATATTGTTACACTGACATGTTTGAAGTTTTTTGTTCGAAAATGCTGGAAAAACCAAGAAAAACAAAATTGTTCAAGTAGTCTGGTTCCCTGACTCCACTAAAGATGAAATGGATCAATTTATAGTTGCCAGAAAATTGTAAGGTAAGGGAACCAGTCTAGCTGGCCTGCACCCGTTCATGAACATGTAACCAACACCAAACAAAATTTGGATTGAAAAAAGGTAAATTTGCAGCAGTAGTTGAAATATAAATAGGTTTTCCAACGGTGGTCGGCCGACCACCGTTGGAAATGTATACAAAAATACAATTTTCTTGAAAATGACTTCACACCAGGTGCCATAATTTTACAGGATGCTTTAGACTGTCATTTACCAACATCCTAGTAAGGTATTTCTTAAAAACTTGGTAGTTTTATTTTTCGATGTTTGCAAATGTTGTATATTCCGTTTAACTGCATTTCATGTATAAATCTTTATTTCATGTCATTTGTTTATCAACATCACACTCCACGCTGTTTTTTTTCCCCGATGTGCGAAGCGGTCACATGGCCGGTCCTATTTAATCGATAGAGGGCGCACCAGCTGCTACTGGGACAGTGGTAGCAATTGGTCTAACTCGCGCGCGTCCTCACTGGTTTCACGTGCGGTTACATGTCCACCAGCGTGCAGGCTACAATTGGGCCAGCGGTAGCGATCGGGGCTGCGGCTAGGGGATGGACTCCGATCACGCGAATGATTTTATGATGTTATTTACGCTTCTTTGTGACTGTTAGGTTGTGGTTTCTTATGGACTGGGCATTTCGAGTTACGGGGTTATTTACGAACATAATATCCTATTCTCTAGACAGGAATGCAGTATTACTTCGAGATACGTACAAACATAGTTTCGAGTTCTGAATTTGACTTAACGAGAGTTTACTGTATACGATATTGTTCCAGGAATCAGATTTATCGAACAATACCTGGGCCGGACTTCATCGGCATTGGGTAATTCTTGCTCGGTGTTGCTTCTCCAGTGGGGGTGGTGATGCCACTTGTTGAGGTCACATGTTTCAGGAGCTTCTGTTTGCTGACCGCCCTCCCTCTGGGCTTCCCGGCCATATTTGGGGCAATGTACGATGTCATCTGAGCACTTACGATAGATGCTAAGAAGGCGGCAAGAAATAGAAATGACAAAATGAACCGACGAGACTCCCCCACACTGTAGGTAATTTGTCACATTTGTAAGTACTACATGTAGTCTGTTTCCTTTCTTCTTTTTATTACATTGGACAAGTGTAAAAATAAACCAATTTCTCGTAGCCACCCGCTTCTTTTTTTCCAGGCAACCTCCTGTTCCCCCCCCCCCTTTTTTAAAAATCAATTATTTGTAATATGTAAGTATGTCCTTCCAGCAAAATTGTAGATACATGTATGCGTGCAAGTTCAGAATGCTTTTAATAAAGAGTTACGACTCTTTTCGACACAACAATATCAGCAAAAGAGTTAAAAAAGTGGAAGAATCCATCTTGGAAAATCTGCCATCAAAAATAGAGTCTCCTCCTCCTTTTTTCCCAGAAAGTGGGGGCGAGAAATTGTGTTTTTTTTTAACTTGGCTTAATTGGTGTCCTAGTTCTATGTCTTGATGTGCCTATAATTGGTCTTTGCCCAAGGCCTCACTGCCTTGGATTGCCTTGCACGTGATTAATTTGTGACACAATTTTAGACTAAAAATTGAAACAATTGTGCACTTATTAAGGAGCTAGAGTTAAAGAGGTTGTGGAGTGCTCGAAGACATTTCCGTTATTTTTCGGGTATGTGTAGCCTAAGGTGTGATGAAATAAAAACGACTATTGTTTCTGTCATGAAATGAGTACAAAGGGTACTTTTGAGAGCTATTTTTCAGGTCCTGTTTCAACCCGAACGTGCAATTTGTGTAAAAGTCGTCGTTGCGGGCAGCAAACAAAACACAGTAAATCGTGACGTAATAAACAGGACTCGTTTATGCTACTCTGCATCGGGAGTCCTGTTTATTACGTCACGATTTACTGTGTTTTGTTTGCTGCCCGCAACGACGACTTTTTACACAAATTGCACGTTCGGGTCGAAACAGGCATGACAGGACCTGAAAAACAGCTCTCAAAAGTACCTTTTGTACTCATTTTATGACAGAAACAATAGTCGTTTTTATTTCATCACACCTTAGGCTACATATACCCGAAAAATGACGGAAATGTCTTCGAGCATTCCACAACCTCTTTAACCTACCTGTAGTGCGTGCTGTAATGATTGTGCTGTTCATAGCCGACACTGATGCCGCATTCCCGGTTTGTTTTCTGACACCGCTCATGCCACCTATAGTCCCGGGCATCATATCCAATGGAGTCATCTGCCCTCCACTGGCCTCACTCTGTCGGCCCGACAGTGACGTTTTGTGTCTATTACTGCCTGATGCACTGGGCATGGTAGTCTGCTGTCTGGCACCTGCTGAAACACCTGTTTGTCTGCCCCTACAGGGTGAGTCAAAAAGAAAATGACCGAATTAGAAGAAAAAAAGGTTTCAAAGTATCAGGCTCATTCCATTTCATATAAATAATTTACGTAAATTGCATACTCTATTCCCAAATTTTGGCGAATTTTAATAACAAACTTCAGCTGTCCACAACTTATCATTTATCGTTCTATGAGCTGAAGAATACTCATTAAATACAATGAAACATGGACGTTTTTCCACTTCCGCGAATGAACAAAAACTAGCAAAGGAAAACAGACAAAAATTTGCATCAATATTTCAGGGAAAAAAAAGAATGGACTTGTTCCTCATATTCAAACACAAAATCTGACAGTAAATATAATGTTTCAGTCTTGACTAAAGTGATTAAAATCCAATTTGTATTTGAATGCCTGTGTGTAATCTGTAATTCTCGCTAAGCTCAATAGCTTCCAATGACATTCCATGGACACATGGACAGCTAAGAAAATAGGTTCTTTTTATAGTAAAACATGTATAACTTCTCATAGCAGGGTTCAATTTCAGTCATTCTTTTTTATTCAGATGAGTGGAAGAACATGCTCTTTTAAAGGGAATACACAACATTTGCAAACATCGAAAAATAAAACTACCTAGTTTTTACGAAAAACCTTACTAGGATGTTGGTAAATGACAGTCTCAAGCATCTTGTAAAATTACGGCACCTGGTGTGAAGTCATTTTCAAGAAAATGGTATTTTTGTAAACATTTCCAACGGTGGTCGGCCGACCACCGTTGGAAAAACCTAACTATTTTTCAACTACTGCTCCAAATTTACCATTTTTTTCAGTCCAAATTTTGTTTGCTATTGGTTACATGTTCATGAACGGGTGCAGGCCAGCTAGACTGGTTCCCTTGCCTTACAATTTTCCATCATCTATAAATTGATCCATTTTATCTTTTGTTGAGTCAGGGAACCAGACTACTTGAACATGTTTGTTTTTCTTGGTTTTTCCAACCTTTTCGAACACAAAACTTAAAAATGTCAGTGTAACAATATTTGATCTATTATACTAACCCCTCAAATAGTTCATTTCTGAAAATTACAGTAAAAGCCAATGATGTACATTCCCTTTAAGGCATACTTCATTCGTGTATTCAATTTGATTGCATCTTGCATGAAAGTCTTGCATGAAATTGATTAAAATGATCCCTGCCAGAGTTGAAAAATGCGACGCCGATGGCACATATTGAACACCATACTTTTGGTCAATTTTCAGGACAGACAGACCGACCGACCACCAAGTGACATGTAGACGCTCCTGCCAGAGCTAAATAACAACATTAATCCTGGTCACTTTCTCTTTGACTCACCCTGTATGCACAACCTCTGATTGCCTGGACAAGGCTGACTGACCGCTCACGCTGGTCAATATAACAGACTGCTTGGTGCCACCTTTGACTACGGCAGACTTGGCAGATGGCACGCTGTGAGAGCGTTGTAAGATGGACGGCGTGTATGACGTCGAGCTGCTGGAGACCAGAATTACCTGTGGATTCATAATTATTGTTATCGTGGTTACTGATGTTTTAGAAGCAGGCTGATAATGGAAGTGAACAAAATTTTGAAGTGAACAAAATTTTGATACAGCAACACTGTGCTTTACTAAGGGAATAAATGTGAGCTTGGGAGGTTTTAAACACTATATTTAAGACCGGTTGGAGTCTGGATGCTGATACTTACCTGAGCCGAAGGCAAGGGTAATATTTTTTCGGTCAAAAAGTCAAAACTTTTCGGTCCAAATGTTAGACAAGTACAAAATTATAAATTTTCAACGATTTTGTTCAACAATGTCACATCATTTTTTTCGAAACACCCCTCTTACTACATCAGGCGGTATCCAGCTCGCAACTTAGTCGAAAACAACTCCATTCTTCACGAGGTGACTGGAATACTCAATGGATCACCTCTGTAGGCTAGTTTTACTACACCACTCGAAGCAGTCAATATTTGTTTACTATTTCACAGACACGACAATTACCTTTTGGGCCGAAGAAGAAGGCGTTGAATTCCCAGCTATCGTCGATGTCTTGGTGTACGTAAATTTGAGAGGTGATTGCGCGGGGTTGAAGCCCGACTTGTTTGCAGAAGTTGAAGACGTTGGCCCGAGAGGACTTGTTCGGCCAACGATTGACCTGCTTCCTTGCTGCTTACTAGCTGCGATATTGTAACCCGTCGGGTGCTTACCGGCCGGTAAACTCAACGATCTATTAGTTGTGATGACGTTCCCGCTGGCGGATTTGGTGGTAGACATAGCCAGCATGCTTGAAGATGGGGATGAAGACGTTTGCAGGGTATGAGGAGAGATCGAAGAGGACATCACATCTTTGGTCTGAGAATGACTTGAATCACGGCGAGGCTTCTTAGCCGGTATGACCTCCACATCAACATCAGGTCCACCTGCAATTTATCAACAGTTTTAATGATGAATCTATCTTGTGGAGTGCTGTGGCCTCGTGCTTAAGGGCATTGGATTCGTGGTCTGCGGGTAAAGCTGCAGGTTCTGGGTTTGAGTCCAGCCTGGGGTCATGGTGCGTGTGCCCTTGGGCAAGGCACTTTGTCACTCATTGCTTCTCTCCACCCAGGAGTAAATGGGTACCTGTGAGGGCAGAGATGGTTATTGTGATTGAATTAGCTTCCTTGCGCCTAACGGGCAGCATTGAGCTGTATACTCCCCAGGGAGCTGAGATGGTGTTAGGAATGTTTCATGGGCCCAATGAGCAGGCTAATAATGATGTAGCGCCTTCAGCACCAGTCCTGGTGGTACGTGCACTTTATAAATACCCACTATTATTATTATTACCATTATTATCCAGTTTCCCTTTGTACTTTATTTGAAGACTTTAACAAAAAGCCCTATCCTCTTCGAGTGATCCCTGTTTGCTATTTCTTGGGTTTACCGCATTGTTAACGTTGCTAGCATCGTGATCCCTGGCTACATGACATATACTGGTTTATGGCTTCTGGCTAGCACACCTTAAACTAAGACATTGACAAATTGGGGAAGTGTCAACATACAGCTGAAAAACTCACTCGCTACAGCACCGGAAACAGTAATCCGGCAGTCACAGGTTCAAACTTGGTGCAGTCAATTTCTATGTTCAACTTTTAAAAAGTATAATAATGAACCTAGTCAGTATCCCTTGGTGTTTTTATTTGGAGCTGGATAATAATTGTGAGAAGATATGCTTCTGTAAAAGAATTTAACAAGAAGCCTGCCATGCACATGAAAAAGGGATCTAGCTCTTTTCATCTGCACTATGAGTGACACGTCTCAAATCTTTCCCAACTCAAGAAGTCCCTGACATGTTCTTACCTTTGATTGGGATGGAGAGACCGCTCGGTAAAACCACCGCATTCGATGAGGGACTTGGGAGCTTCACGCTGTTTTCACTAGTTGCTATAAAAAGAAAAACATGATTAAAAGACAGATTAAAACCCCGTTTACACAGGAGAGAGGTAGCAGAAAGCGGTATGCCGCGTGATATTGTACATTTACACATGAGGGGAAACCCATTCGGAATATAAATAATTATGTTAACCCTCCTGCTATTAAATCAGTCACAGACAGTCCAAATTTCCTTCCACTTCCCCTGTTATAGTTTTAACACAGGCTGGTCACCAGCAGTCAGATCATATGTCAAGCAAGCACTGTGACTAGTCAAACTCTGTCAACAGACCAGGGACAGACAAAGCAGGCAACTTGTGGACACAGCTGGCTTATCAATTACCCCTAGTCAAAGCAAATCTGTATCAAGTTACATAAACATTCACAGCCGGTCAATCCTACTTGGCTGCTAGGCTGGGAATTCTTAACTGTTGAAAACAGTCACTTGATTGATTTTGATTGAAAGGACTACTCGGCAAAGCATATATGTTTGCATAGGTGCACTTGACAATGTCATAATTAGGCCTACATACATGTACATACGTATACGTAATGAACCAGCAACAATAAAAACATTGTATGTCGCCAAAATAATGTCTTTATGAAATGCCTTCTTTTTTTTACTACCTCGCACATCAACTCTCACTCCAACAGACACCCGATTATTTTTAATTTTTTTTGACAGCATCTTTAAAAGCTTCTAACGATGTGTCATATAACTGAGGGAACTTCTCGAGTATCGAACTCTCGGTGCTGCTTCTCCTGTGACGTCATACGCAACGAGAACGGTGATTGGCCAGAACTTGCAGTCTCAGCACAGTATCTTTGAGAAAACGCTCAGGTTTTTAAACGCAGCAGTCTACCACCCCACCGTGCGGTATGTCCGCTCTAAAACTAAACAAACCCATGGAAAACCATGTGCACTATATTATTAACCATGTACTGGCTTGAACAAGACAAAGTCTTCAGACAAATTCTGACCTTCTTTTTTAGCTGTTTCTGAAGGCAGAGGCAGGGTAAGATTGTGACTGAAGGCTGCGTTGGCGGCCTGATTGGCTGTCAAGGAAAAGACCGTCTGAGGTACGAGTCTTGGCATGAGAGGAATCAAACGGCGTCCCTCAATGGCCCACTCTGCAGAGTGGTTGGGTCCACTCAACCTAAACAAAGTAAAACAAATGAACAGAAAGTTGATCATTCATTCTAACCTAACCAACTCCATCAAAATCCATCCCTCTATTGGATTGGGGGGGGGGGGGGAGATGGTCCCACTGGCCTGGTTTGACTAATTTTTGATGGAGTATGATGGATTTGGGCCGGGAAGCCTGATGGAACACTACTGGGGGAAATCTGATGGATTTTGTCCAGCAGAAAGCTGCTGTTGTCATGTAAGCCATGTGTACTTAAAGTCCATCAAAATCCACCAGCACTTCAGTGATAGAATAGGTCTCCTTCAAATGACGTCATTTCCTACAGACCATCCACGTGCATCAGCATTTTGAGCGTCAACTTGCATAACGCACATCGGCTGCGTCGTATTTCAAACACATTTTGAGCAACAAGCGCGCGTGTTTGGAACATTTTCAACACTGCACAATGCGTGCTTGATTGCGTAAAATACGCAGTTGCAGTTCTCCTACAGAGGTTGCAGTCTTTGAGGGAGCCCTTTATCATAGTACCGTGCTTGTTTCCAGACGTAGCTTACCTTTCAGCGACTGTGGACAGTTTCTCATCATTCACTGCTCGCCTCACCTCGGCACGATGACGCTCTGTGGAAATACTAGAATAAAGGAACGGAAGCTGAGCAACAATGAAAGCCCTTGGTGGATGACAAGATGAACAGAAGATGCAGCAGTATAAATTACACGGACTGTGATTTGTACAATGTATGTATGCAAAGAACCCCTGGCGAGCATCGCGTTATGGGGAAGTTTTCTTTTTCAAATGAACGACAAAGGGAAACTCACTAGGTGAATTACAATAATTTTAGAAGTTGAACAAAGAAATTGACTGGAGCGGTGTTTGAGCTAAACTTGTAATAATTCACCTCGTCAGTTTCCCTTTGTGGTTCAATTCAAAATTTGTAATACAAAGCTGTATCCTCTCGCACCTTTCAAACTTGCCAACTGGGCGCTGAAGCGCACACCCAACGACTGTTTGACGTACTGCTGCTGCATTAACTATGAGGCTTGTGTCACTTGCATCACAGCTGCGGTGGAACAGCAGCCGAAGTTGGCTGACAAACAGTCGTCGGGTGTGCGCTTCAGTGCCCAGCAAGTTTGACTGGTGCGCGGGCTGTGCATGGTCATCGACGGCGCATTGCCATGCTTTTGTACATGAATTTTGTTCGTACACATAACCCTAACGTGACCTCTGGCCAGCGATCACAAGTCGATCGGCTGTCAATAATGCCTCATTTTCCACTGCAATTGTGGGCTGAATCTTCATCATGGATCGTTACTTTCTTTAAGGACCTGTGTATTGGTTATAGACAAGGTTTGGGTGAGTCCCAAGAGGAATCACAGGGACACAATGGCACGTTTGGCATTCAATTTTAAGAGATGCTAGTCCTTGTTGAAAGTTTCTTCTAGCCCTAATATAACAAACCAATGATAAAATATAGGGCTGAGGTAACTCCAGCTAGGATAACTGGATTCTGAACCAATGCATACCTGAGAGTTGTTGCCAACTCGTTCAGAATGTGTTTCTTGTCCTTTGTCAGATCTCCCTGAGCACGGAACGCACTGATCATGCCTGCATACGCCTCCAGCTCTGTACGTCTCAGCAACCGCTTACATTCATCCTTGTTCATATCCAGTAGTTTGGGCCACATTTTGACGGGTAACAGCAACTGTATATAAATCGATCAAAAAGAATATACATTTGTATAGGCCTATGCCGCAGAACACTGAACATGTTGGAGTACGCGTAAGGTACATTTACTTCCAGTACTGTTATTTTTAATAACATAAAGTGTATATGTGAGATGTGTTTATCACTATTGATAAAGAAGGCCCTACACAATTATTGCGTTTTTATGCATATCGTCCGAGTACAGGTCTGTTTTCGAGGCATCAAGTTTTCCAGATTTGACATTGTAAGTTGCAGCGACGCACAGGCGCAGACTTTTTCACGCACACGCGCAGGTTTTTTCAGTCGTCTATTTTTCGTTTAATTTCGTGTTGGAATTTAGAATTAGATATGCTGTACATAGCAAACGTGTGCAAATGAAGCTGGAAATTACATAAAATGTAGACCTCTGAAAAAGGGGGGGGGACTAATTTTCTATCGCTTTAACATGATTAAAGAGGGTGAGCATGATGGTGAGTGTGCTTCTATAAAGTTCTAAACTAAAGCATGAATAAACTACAAATTCTAAATGTGAAAATAAAAACTTGACAAAGTTCTACATGTTTTGTGCATGTTCCAAGTGTGGCCTTTATTTATGGAGGTAGTCTAGTAAATTGGTCACATTATGGCATGTATGGGGCTAGGAGTAGGACTACTGTAGCATGCATGCCAGCATGGTTAGTCTGCCATGTCTGCGCGGTCTGCGCAATGCCAATATCATGTGTGGCCAAGTTTCTCGGTAAAAAAGCTAGCTACACACTTACTTAGTCATGTTAGTTCATAAATTACAACTTACCTCGTGGCCCCGTTCCGAAGCACAGATGTTTACTTAGCCTAATAGAACCCTTATATTATATCAGTTTACCGCTGTTCTGAACAACGAATAATGATAACAAAACAGGATTTTTAGGCGGGTGGCGCCGCGCTGGCCCAACCATTCACCCACCACACAAAAAGCGAGTGGACAGGAAAGAGCGCCACCACGGGGTGAACAGAAGCCAGTAATAAGTCTTGACTCTGACCTCGATCAACGCCACAGTCATGACGGTAGAGTATTTCCGGAAAAACAAAAAATGGTGATCGTGTTTCGTCAGTTTCCCGTTCGTATTCTCATCATGGCAACATTTGTTCGTCGTTTTCCCGTTCGTGTGCTCGCTCAAGCTGCGGTATCTGGGCGGTGTAATTATTGCACTGATCAGGGCGCACCTGCATTCAGTTGTCACCCTTCGTAAGTTTGGCCATAGGTTTGGCATTGCGCGGTGGACGTGGGTGCACACGCAGTGTGCATGTGGTGGGCGGGGCTATGTTGGGTTGGGGGCGGGGATTTAATCCTAGAACAGGTTCTAGGTTGGGAAGCATGGTATGAATACATGAAACTTCTGTCTTGAAAAGAAACGTTTATCAATCATTTGCCAATTAATATGCCTTGGCTTCAGTGCGTTCACAGCATTAAATATTTTGTCAAACATTGTTGGAAAGACGAAACTCGAAAGGAATGTTAATTCAAGTTGTTTTGTTTCAGATGCATCCAATCCAGACCGTTGCCTCAGATGAGGAACACCATTCACCAACTGCATACCACTCTCTATCAGCCTTTGAAATGTATGTACATTCTACAGTCATAAATCAGTTTTAATTAATTATATATTTTTTTGGGGCCAATTCACCACACATTGCCCTCTTTTTATGCGATTAACTTTCTCGCGTATTTACCAATTTTTCTTCATTCTACAGATGAGCTTCGGTCCTATCGGTACTACAGCAGTGATTCTTCAGGTCTTGCTGAAGATGACGTCAATGTTCATTACGACAGTCTTGTGAAGCGAATCCGCAACGGTAATATACAACTGATCGATGTCAGAGAACCATCAGAACTTGCGGAGTTTGGGCAAATCACCAACTCCATTCATATCCCATGTAAGTGTCATATGTGAGTCTGCTTAATTAACCCTAACCTTCCCAAATCCTCTTTGCAAATTGGAGGATTTTGCAGGATTGAGGCTACAAAGATTGATGGCAAAAATGTGTGGCTAATTTTGGAGGATGCACTGTGTCAAGGTCTTTGGCAGGACCTTGTTTTGTTTATGATCAGCTGGGCATAAATTTAGGCCTAGATCATACTTAAAATCCTCCGCACTGCTCCAGGATGTCACTGGTTCTGCCTCAGCATATTGACAGTGATTGCTGGAGGATTCAACATATTGATAGTGATTGCTGGAGGATTTTGCAGGATTGAGGCAGTGGTCACCCCTCCAAGGACTACATTCAAGAAATAACGCCACATTCAAGAAATAATTGAGGATTTAACAGGATTGAGGTTACATCCTAGCAATGATATGTGCCCTTTTTATTCATTTATGCCCCCCCCCCAATCAACTGCAGTTTCAACTGGGTCAGTAATCAGAATGTTCCCAAATGAAAATTAGTGTATTTTTATTTTTTCCAGTGGGGGACTTGGCAGATGCACTGAACCTTCCACAAGACAAGTTTGAGTCCAAATATGGTCATCCTAAACCAGAGTCAGTGGATGATGACATCGTATTTCACTGCCGAAGTGGAAAGCGTAGCATGACTGCAATCAACATTGCCAAAGAGATCGGATATTCCAAGTAAGACTAAAAACGCCAATCTCACAAACTGTTTCATAGTGTATGGGGCAAAAAAAACCTCCCAACTCCAAACAAAACAGTCATCTCGAAAGTATGAAAATGTCCAATGCAATGTACACGTTCATTTTTGTATGAATGCATGTAATAATTACTTAGGAATGAGGTACATCTGTGGAGCACGCTTCGGTGCAGCACGCTTCGGTACCCTATCCGGTTCGAAAGTGTGGCGTCATATCATCTGAACCACGTGCTAGTAATTAGTGGTGCGTGCGCGTGTACGACAGTCAAATACAAACCGGATAAGTCCAGTTTTGCCCTTTTGTGTTATGTCCATGAAATCCATTGGACATCTAGCTACCCCATTAGGCCCTATATGTTTAGCTGTAACATTGTATGTCATTTGATAATATAAATTTGTTTCATAAATTTTGTCCCGTTTGTTGTTCTTCAGGGCGCGTCATTTCCCAGGAGGCTGGTTGGAATGGGCCGAGAAGAATAATCTACCCTATGCATGAGGTTTAAACCCGAGATGGAACGCATACATCAGCAGTCCATAGATGAGGCTTGGATCGAATAATGAAATTATTTCAATACATTAATTATTACGGTTCACAGGGAAATTTGAATTTTTTTTTTTCAATTTAGTTATGCCTTAGTTTTGGAAACTAGTCGTTTTCAGTTGCTTTTTACGCTGAAAAATTCTTTTTGCTGTGCGTCTCTCTCACCTCACTAATGGATCTGCTTCAAAATACTTGGAAATAAAACTGAAATACAATGCACATGTAAACAAATGATAATTCTTTTAAACAAAATCTGTTTAGAATCCCAATCTCAGGCCATGCATTATTGATCAGTGATCTTGTTTGGGGATAAATGGAGCCTTAAAAAGGCATCCTTCCCTCAAAATAATGTAATTTTTTTTATTAAAATTGTATTTTATTAAATGTTTATTGAATAATGTGCCCATTGATGCAAAGTTTAAATTTAAGAACAGACTTTATTTCGTTAACAAGGAAAACATCTTCACATAAAATACCACATTTCCAATGTCCACATGTATTGATCACTTGTTAATTTTTTTAAAGTAAAATTTACCCTTGTGTTTTCTTTTTTTGAGATGCTGTCGTTTAGATGCTGCAAATAGAGGTATCCCCCTTCCCAAAAAAAATATCAAATAGACCATGTCCCCCCCCCCCAAATAAAAATGCTGTTAGGCGTTTTAAATGTAGGCAACACGTTTATTTACAATGGTTAACAGTGAACCTTGTACATGTACATAATTACATGCACAGTTCAACCTGATAAGAAGAGTACAAGCTAATTTGTAAAGTCCAAAGGACCTTGTTGTAAGGTGTTCCACTTGTTCTAGGTGTTCCACTATATTTGTAATGGAAATGCCTAAACAACTGGAACCAGAAGAAACCTAAAAGTAGATTTGTATATTTGCTCTAAAGCCATCATTATGTTTCAATACATGTACTTTCTGGGTGTGTTTGCCAGCTCTACATCAATCCAAGAATATTATAATAAAAAAACATACAAGTACATGTACAATGTATAGCTTATTTACAACAAAAAACAAGAAAATTGTTTTCTCAATATTATGTACAATTTACACTCCTACATTGTACGTGTGCTTGCTTTATTAGCTGCCAAAGTTGTTTATATCAAGACCTATCAATTTAGACTGTGGACTGTTACAATCTATTTCATTCTTTTGTAATTGAAACATTCTGTTGAAGGGGTATACATTACATGTACAGTTCAAATAAAACATTTCGAAGACTGATTTCTAATTAAAAATTAACTGTATGTCAAAATTATTAACACCTGCTTAATTGAGCTTTATCATATGGACGGACCGTTTTGGAAGCTAGAGAGAAGACTATATGGAGGTTTTTTTGGTATTAATATCAACACACTTTCAGTCAAACAAGGCAACAATACATTTTTGGAACACTTGCCATAGCTGTATATTAAAGCCACTTTGCAGTTACAAAGATGTACTACTGAGATTCAACGATTTAGTGTCGGCAGATGAACAAAGCAGATAAACGCACACAAGTCTATGGGGGATGTAGTAACCAAATCTACATATTGCAATTTTTTTTTAGTTCTCCCGTAAAAAAATGAAATGTTAAATTTTGTTCGCAACAAGGTTGAAACATACAAAACATCTTAAACCATGGTGTCTTTATAAACAATCAACGTTTGTACATCCACTTCAAAACAAGAAATTATCTTGGATTTCGTTGGTATTCTGCTATGAATTTGCACGCGTGTGGCGAACTATTTTTCCCCTAACCCTAATTGTTGTCATAGGATGTGCGCATGCGCAGTAGTACATTTTTGTAACTCCGAAAGGGCTTTGTTTTTAAGTTTTTTAATAGAACTGATGAAGACGAAAAACTGCACCATTTCAACCTTACAATAACATACACGGTACATAGAAATTTATGTTTCAAAATTATGTTACATTTTCTTTCCGATTTGCCAGACAACATCAAGGTGGTTTCTGGAAGGATTGATAATGATGATGATGACATTGTCATAGTTTCGAATGTAGAAGTCCACATACAAGTACCATGCCAGTTTTAAGTTCTTAGTTGAGAACCGACGACTCGTACGTCGGCACCATATACTTAATGTTGATGAAAGCATCTTCACCGCCATGCTTCTCAAGTGCTTCTAAGGTTTCTTGGATGAGGTCCCCGATGTTCTCCCTCTTCTGCTGCCCATAGTCGATGCCGTCGCCGATATTCAGGTTCTGGTTCTTGAACGTGTTGAGCATCGGAAGAATTTGTCGGTAATACGGAACAAGAGCCTCTCCTGCTAAGTCGGCCGACACAACCAAGTGCTGCAGAACCTTCAGCGTAGTACAGATCACCTTGTGATTTCGCAAGTTCAGAGCCTCTTTGATGGGCATGATTAGCTGGGGTATGACCGAAACGATTCTGTTTCCACCATGCTCCAACAGGTCGTGGACACCTTGCCGGGCAAAGAACTCGTAGGGATGGGTCGTTTCCTTCAAGCCATCAAAGAACAGGGGCAGGTAGTGGTGATAGTCTAGCTTGTCTATCTCAATCTGGAAAATGGAAGAGAAAAGGAAACATGTAATTAACTGCTACACATGAAGTATTCAAAAAGTTATCAGAAAAAGCGTCAGTAGCACAAGGTCGGATTACATTTTATGTCACCATGGTCAACATAACTGTACATTTCAATCGGAAGAAATTCATAGATTTTATGCACACATTTTGGCGAAAACTAAAAACTAATGTACTCCTCCTGTACAATTTCTTGGTACGTATGTCCACATTTAATTTCTGTTCAAAGATGTCTGTGAATGAGACGGAGATGGGATAACAATAAAAAAAAAAAGACAATATATTTATAAATCAGCCATTTTATAAACTTTTAAATTTAGGTCGACTTTTGCGCCAACGGCCAACCTACCTTCCAGGCGATCTTGTTGCCTTTTGTGTCGTGTTCAAGGGCAATTGGGAAGTCTCCTCTTTCGTAAAACTTCCTAAAAGATGTTGGTTTGCCTGGCTGTTCCATGAAGGCACCTGCCTTCGGAGGATTTTGGACTTTCACATTTTTCATTTGTGACTGGATTGTGAAGGCTTCCGCCACAATCTCTTTACCGCCTCGTTTACTCGTCAAATTCTGCGTTCTTTTCGCCACTTCCATCGCGAAATTGTCCAAAGCAGGTTCGAAGAAACCGTTGCCAAATAATGGTATTTAAACACTTAGAATAATTCGGAGGTTGATGGCGTGAAAAACGAAAAATAACATCGAGTTCCTCCACAGTCTATTCCACCAAAGTCTTGGAGTCGTTTTTGTACGTCTTACATGCACGAGTACGAGAACGAAAATGGCGATTGAGAAAATTGTATCAGATTGACGTAGTTACGCGTACGCGATGTGCGCACAACATCGCACAGTGCATATCTTTATCGCAAACAAACATATACATCAAGTGACCATAGCAACCAATCCACTGGTAACCGGCGTAAAACCGGTGTGCTTTCGTGCGTGACAAATATTAGGTTGGTAGCCGTCTAATGATTATTCATAAGTACATGTGTACATGTATAAGTGCTGCTGAGTGAGGGGGCGTGGCGCGGGCTAGTTTAAGGGGACCAGTAATTAGCTCCGTGGTTAAATATTCTCGGTGTCTTCCAGAAACGGAAACAGCTTACTGTTCGGAACGTCTTACGTTAATATTTAACCGCTTTTTTCACACTCGACTCAAACTCATAAAAGAGACCGAAGTTTTGTTGTTGCTGCCACACTGTCAATGATCGATGAATAAAAATCCCTCAACTGAAGAGATGAGAGCGGATGCGATCGTTTCCCCAATTAAATTACACAAGCCCCAGCAGCTAGACGCGTTTCGTCTGCATCTGATGTCCTTTTCTCTTACATTGTGTGATTTCACGTTGTGGAGTTATACGAAAGACGACCAAGCAAAAGTACTGTACCGATAATTACTGCATTCCTTTGTATTATTAACTTTCCGAATTTGTCCCCCCCCCCGGCGCCCCACCCCCGATAACTTTTTCCTAGGCAGGTGAAAGCTCGGGCTGCACCATATAGAGCAATATTAAATTGTAATTTAATATAGCTCTATGGGCTGTACACGTACGTCCTGTCCGATGTTCGCGGATAGAGCGCCCTCTGATCGAGTTTTGCCATGCCAATAAAATTTCACATAATTTAAAACATTGTTTAACGTTTTATTACCTCATTAACATATTCATTCCCATAAAACGTATGTTTTTATCTTATCAGTATTCAATCTACCATTGTTTCATATAACTAGTCCAAATTTTTTAAAGTCTCAATATATATAAAAAAAATGGAAACAAACAAATTAAACAAAACTTGCTATGAAAAAGTTTTGAATACTCAACATTTTAAAGACATGTTTGTTGGAGACATTAATATTTCTCCAACAAAATTGTAGCCATGTAGAAAGGGTTACGGTTCCTTTGGACACAATTTTGTACAAGCAAAAGAGTCAAGAAAATGGAAGAATCCATCCGCCATCTTGAAAGTCTGCCATCTTGCAAAAAAAGCACCTGCCTCCTTCAGTCTTTCAAACAGCCAGGACGAAAAAGTATTTGTTTGTTTTTTTTACTCGGCCTTATAGTTAACATTTAAATTCAGAAAGGTCAGCACATACAAGACAAAAAACAAAACTAGTAGGATAAAAATCATTGCATCCCAATATGCATAATGGTCAATGTATTTCCAAATGAGGTCCATTCACTTTTCTGCATTAAATTAAAGGGTCCATGAATGTAACACATTTTGTGCAACTTTCTACACCTCTTAAATGTATATATGAAAACTATTGGACCTTAGTTAATTTTGTTGAAAAGTGCCACTTCTTTAAACATTAATTTTAGTAGTTTCCATGCTTTTCCAGACAACTGAGGACGTTGTTGCTGTGATGTTTTTTAGGAAGACACTGTTCAACTTGGGGGTTTTCCGTTCATATCGTGAACCCGCAAATTTGCTCAATGAAACATGTGAGAAAAGTTTGCTCATTAGCTTACTGCCATGTACTTACACAACAAATCACCAAAGAAAACAAAGTTTATGGCAGCGAAATAGCTGAAATTCTGGCAACTTTCAATGCTAAAATAGCTGTAACATTGAGGTTTCTGAAATGACATCACACTTTTGCTCATGAATATGGACATTTGCATTAGCATAAAAACAAAAAAAAGGTACCAAAATACCCTTGAAAATAGCAACGTGAAAATTGAGGGGAAAATGATTACATGGGACAGAAAGGTGCATTTTCAAGGATTGCATTAAAGATTCACATTGCATGGGCACTTTACAGGTGAGATTATTTTGCAACTGCTGATAAAAATAATGGTAAGTTCTCAGGTTTTTTTTTAACAAAGTATCTATAAATAACTTCCAGTGACTTATCAAGGGCGTATCCCAAAAGCCTGTCCTTAATATTCTGCATTTGAATTCCTCAGATTGCAATTTACAAGTCGCACTCCACCAATTATTTCCATGCTTCTATAACATCTTGTATCGTTTCCTGAGCGCTGTGGATACCAGACTTGAATTGTTGTGGAATCTCCCGTCCATTGCGTCCAGCCTCTGCACCCAGGAGAGCCCCTAGAGCTGCACCACGATGACAGTTTTCTCCTGAAAGTCAAGTATTGAATGCTTCTAATGAGTATAGTCTATACTTAGCAACATTATTTTCTTGGGTTCAATATTGCCCCTGGCATTTCAATTAATCAGGATTCAGGAACATCATCCATAACACCTACGGACGAAACAATACAATCAATGGATACCAACTTTCTGTCAAATAATGGCATCAACAGATTCAGGGTGATCACAATCAGTGTGGAATAAGCAACACGTTGAGCAAAAAAAAAAATTAAAAAAAAAATATTCCATTTTATGCAAATACTATGTCCAGATAGAATAGTATCCAATAATGAATGTTTATGAGTGCAATGGTAAGAATAATTTCATGAGGTGACAGATGGAATGTTCCATTACACTCGGCTTCGCCTTGTGGAATGGAACATTCCATTTGTCACGGAATTAAATTACTCTTTCCATTGCACGACTGTGAAACATTCATTATTTGTTTTATACAACACCTGAATAAATCCTCGTCATCTGATTGGTCAGATCCACCAAAAGTGTGACCGTGCAATAGAACTTCTATTCTTGCAGTGCGACTGGGCCATGGGTTGGGGTAAATAACTGAATGACATGAATAACTCAGATCACAGGGATCTATTCAGGCGTTGTATAGTATGGAGTATACATGACTTCATCGCATAATGAAAAAGCGAAATGAATGCGCCATTCTAATCTGTATGTACACAATGTGGTCTTCAAGGTAAAAAGCCAAGAACATTCTTCACACCTCGATCTCTAAAATAAACTATTATAAATTCAAAAAAAAGACTAATTTAAATGGCTGAATCTGAATTAAAAAAAAGAAAAAAAACCATTTACCTCCACAGTTTGTATTTGTTAAAGCACCTGCCTCAAAATTATCATGAAACTCATAGGCAAGGAAGAACATGGACGTCACGGCTCCTTTGATGTAACACGCTAATCCAAAATGTGATACCGCCTCCTGATAGACTTGTAACCTTTCTTCAGATCCTTCTGCATATCTGGGGAAATCCAAACAAATTATGAGGGTATTTAAAGCCCGCTACAAATCTTTTCCAAATTTTCACGTGATCATCAGGCCATCGGGTTTACAGATCGGAGGGGCGTGCGTTGACAAACAGGACCGATCTGACCCTACACCCTTCCAGGCGACCGGATGAAATTAAACATGTTTGATTTTTTTCAAACGGACGCAACATTTACATTAACCAATCTGATTCACGAAGCAAGTCACATGATTCAAAATTGAGGGTTGCCATTTTGTCATCATGTGACTGGTCATCATGTGACTGATCACGATGAGACCGATTATAGAACGGAATCGGGGTTACCGGGATGTGTGCAGGTAACGTTGCAGTCTCCGCAGAGGTGAAAGAAAAAAAAGATACAGGTGATCCGGTAAAATCGGAAAGGTGTGCGGCAGGCTTTAACGATGACAGAATAAGAGTTTGTATCAGATTTAGATTTAGATGTTTGTCAATTTAGAGGCACGTCAGAAGACAACAGCACACAGCAGACAGGGGCAAAGTTTGATTATTGACCATTTGAAGTGTTGTGTGTATATAATCCTATCTCGGTCTTGCTGCAGGTTTAACTCATAATCTAGATGAAGGCAAATCCTTTGAGCAAGCTTCCGGACATACCTGGCTGCAAGTTGTGAATATTTCTTGACCCGTTTCCATGTGTTACTGCCACCTAAGAGTGGTGACTCCAATGCCGCCTGGGCCTTCTCGCGGAGACTTGCGCCATTCACCACGCTATGAAGTGTGGTAGCGTACAGCTCCACAAAGGGAACCAGGCTTAGTGAGCAGTGAGTCAGATTGACGAGTCGTACTGCATGCTAGAAAGAAAAAAAAAAGGTTATTTTTAAGCTTTTCAAAACGGGTCACATTTTACTTATACAATCAACAATCAATGGGGAGTCAAGTTGGCACAGTGGTTACTGCCCTCGCCTTCCACCTCTATGGCCCGGGTTCGATTCCTGCCCGGACCAAATGAGGATTTTGGGTTTTCAGTCCCTACCTGATTCCGTAGGTTTCCCAAGAATATTTCTTCTGGGGTTTTCCTCCCACATCTAAAACTGTAATTTCTTCTCGTCGTCTTCTCTCTACAGGTTTCTTAAAGCTTTCGAGCTACAGTGCCTAGGGCACGTTAGAGGAATCCTTGGTCTAATTACCAGAAAGAAAGAAACACAATACTGTACAAATGTGTTATATTTGGTTGTTAAAATAAAAAAAAAACACGAAGGTGAAAAGACCAGTCTTATCTTAGGGTAAATTTCTGTTAAAATTATAAGCGATATACAGGTGCAAGACAAGCACATTGATAAGCAATAATTACATTCATGATAAATGTATGAAGACTTGACGTACCTTGACGGCCTCGGTAGTTGAGAGATTAGCACAGTGTAAAATGACAGATATCGGCATCACCAATGCACCAATGCTATCAATGTTGTGATCCACATGACTTGACGTTAACTTCTTCGATCTTGACTCGGCAAACGCTAACACCTCCTCTGATACTACTGGCGATCCAGCTGTCAACCAGTCTCTAGAGGGCGGCAAACAAACAAAAACTCACAATTGCAATTGGACTACTCTTCAAGATGTTAAAACACAAACATTGCAACAGATCCAACAGACTGCATCAAATAACAGATTGATCCGATATTTTGTTACGATTCTCCTAATGGGAGTTGCTAAACCTTACCTGAAGAACTCCCTATGGAAGGACTCGGCATACGTGTCACCATGCGATCCCGGAGTTGTCATAAATTTCACGTACGCTGCAAATATTGCCCCATAAGCGCCATCATCCATGGGTTGTTGGTCTTGATATTCACTCGCTAGCGTCTGTGCCGTCAGACCAGCGACTAGTGCATTTAGTGTACTGTCACCAGCTTTCATTCCTAACAACAAAATATTGAAACCATCAGTCATTATGCGAAACACTGCACGTCAGTGAATGCAGTGTACGTACAGATAATGTAAAAGCAGTTTACTCGGAAAGATTTCCATATAAGAAGTTCACTAATTTTCCTCTGTATTGACTAACAAGCCCCCAGATAGCAATTTCATGTCATCAAAGTCAATTTGAGCAGTGAGAAAATACAAGCATTTTCTTAGAAAACACTTAAAATTTTTCAGTCCAATCTCATAGGGTTTGTACACAGGGTGTTGAGTGAACTTCTATATGGAAATCTTTCCGTTTACTCAACTAAAAAACATAAAAATACCAAGAAATGCAAACAAAAGTTTAACCTCTATACTATCAACAATAATGCTGATCCTGAACACCAAAACTGCACATTTTTGTATGTGTTATCAGACAAAATGGCACATGAATGTCAAAGTTACCAATGACAAAATCTGAGGACAGTGATAATTATTATTATGATAATTCTTATAGTAAATAACACTAAAAATAAATGTCACATTACCTTGATGGTAGTGAATGGATCTCTGGTTACTCTGCCAGTATTTGAGTTTATCATGAAGAATGACGGATCCAATGACGGGGTCAGAACCACTGCCATACCCACTGCGACCAGCACCACCTGTGCAAAACACATAAAGAAATAATAATTATATACATGTACATCATGATCCAACAAATATACATAACTGTTAACTGAACAGAGCTCAGACTACTTCTGGAGCATTTACAGACATTGAGAAAATACTGCAAGTAAATGCCCCTGGCAGGCTGCCAGTATTTATACAACCAGTTAGTAAGCACACTTTTCAGTCGACTTCACCCAAATCAACAATGACCTTATTTGACCCCCAGATGACCTTTGAGCTCAAATGTTACAAGCCATATGAAGTCCCCCTACCCAAAGATTATTGTCACCAAGTTTGGTTGAGGAGGTGAAGTCCGACTTTTCATGTGACAGCACTTTTCAGTTTACCTAACCAAAATCAACAATGACCTCATTTGACCCCTAGATGACCTTTGACCTCAAATGTCTGAAGTTATCTGAAGTCACCTTACCCAAAGATTATTGGCACCAAGTTTGGTTGAGATTGAAGTCTGATCTTTCATACGACTGTCCTAAACAGTTAACCTACATGTAACCAAAATGGAATACACAGACACACATACAGAATACGCTATCGCGATATCTCCTTTCTGGCTTAAAGGGAAAATACAACATTTGCAAACATCAAAAAATAAAACTACCAAATCGTTTTGAAATACCTTGCTGGACTGTTAGTGAATGACAGTGTAAAGCATCCTGTAAAATCATGGCACCTGGTATACTGTCATTTTCAAGAAAAGTGGTATTTTTGTATCAATTTCCAACGCTGATCGGCCGACCAGCGTTGGCAAAAAATGGCTTTTTTTCAAATACTGGCCCCAGTTGACCATCGCACTTGTTTGCAATCGATTACACACCTATGAACGGGTACAAGCCAGCTAGACTGGTTCCCTGACCTTACAATTCCCCAATGTATGTAAACTGCTCTGTTTCTTCTTAAAGTGGAGTCAGGGAACCAGACTACAGGAAAATGATTGTTTTTCTCGGTTTTTGTAGCATTTTCGAACCCAAAACCTCAAAAAAGTCAGTGTTACTACATTTGCTATATATTTCCAACCCCCCAATTCCATCTATTTCTGAAAATTACAGCAAAAGCAAATGATGTATATTCCCTTTAAAAGCCAGGGGGATAAAACTGATGTAAATACAGCGTAGATGTGAGACAATGGATCTTACCAACAGCAGAGATTGTCAAGATGCTGGATGGATGTCTGGTCTTGGGTGCTACAAAACCACTCAGCCAGTCCCCGTAGTCACGTCTGATATCATCTGGATCGTAATACCAATGGACAGGCATACTGAGTGCATCGCCAACAACCATTCCCCACAGTGATTCAGATTGTGCCATCTTCTTATCGTGTTCGCAGTTTCCAGATCTGTATTACAATAATATATGGACAAAACAAATCTCCATTCGTTATTTGTAGAATGCCATGGTCCAGTGGTTACGGTGTTTGAATCCTGTAAGACGGTACATGGGTTCGAACCCTGCCAGGAACATGGTGTTTGTGCCATTGGGAAAGACACTTAACTACAATTGGCTCTCTCCACCCAGGAGTGTGAAAGGGTAACTGTGAGGGTAGAGGACCGAATGTGCGCTGATATCGGCTGCTGCATGGTCTCGTGGCCACATAATAATAATAATAATAATAATTTGGGAGGCTAATCATCCTTACTCACAGCTGGTATGCTGAATTGCAAGGACGCGGCTACAATGTGGTCGGGCCGCTGGCACGTAAAGGCGCCTATGGCTGCCGGCCACATCGACCCATATATGACCACGGAGCACAGCCTGAGATCGAAAGTGTTTGATTTTTGCGGAGGGAGGAAAACCGGAGGGCCCGGAGAAAAACCCTCGTGGCACAGGAGAGAACCAACGCACAACTCTACTCACATGTGATCCGTGGCCAGGATTCGAACCGTGGTCACCTTGGTGAGAGGCGAGCGCTTTACGCACAAGCCACCCATGCCACCTGAATGAATGGGGAATAATCGCAGAGTGCTGTGATATGTTGATACAATGGAAAGCGCTATATATAAGCATTACAATCTAATTACAAATTAAATATTAAAGCAATTTCAGCCATACGGATGGACAGAGATTCTTATGTACCAATATTTCATCGCAGAAAATTATACATGTAGCAAATGAAAGGAGAAGGCGAACCTTGAGAAGTGAAAGCCAAATCTTGTCATGATACAGAGAAAACTTATGGCTAGTACACACACAAGTGCAGGACATACATGTACATGTATGTAGTCATGTACTGAATTCTCAATACAGTGAATTCCTGTAAAATTCAGACGGACCGAGCCAAATTTGGTTATATTAGATTTTTTTAATTTAATATTAAAGGGCCCATGCAATGTAATTTGTTTTAATGCAATCTTTGAAACTACACCTTTGTGTCCCATTTAACCTTATTTTAAACTTCTGTTTTGCCATTTTAAAGTATATTTTGGTGCCTTTTTAGTTTTTTATGCTAATTCAATTTCCATATTCATGAGCAAAATGAGCAGAAATCTTAATGTTATAGCTATTTCATCACTAAATGTTGCTAGAATTTTGGACATTTTGCTGTCGTAAATTTTCTTTTCTTTGGTGATTTGTTGTTTTGTAAATAAGCCAATGAGCACCCCTTTTCCACAAATGTTTCAAAGGAGCAAATTTTGGGTTCACAATTTGAACAGAAAACCCCTACACTGAAGAGTGTCTTTCTGAAATGACATTACAGCAACAGCACCCTTAGTGCACTTTTCAATAATTAACCGAAAAGGGATGTCAAAAAGTTTTCATACAATTAAGAAGAGTAGAAAGTTACACAAAACCATTTTCACGGTTTTTGTGCTCCTAATTTTTTTTAATTGCATAGACCCTTTAACGTCGGGGCAAACCTTAATATGCTCACCGTAAGTGGAATTTTGTTATGTTTGTATTAATTTGTATAAACCGAGATACGAGACTCGACTGTACGTAAGGCCACACACATAAATGCTGAGCTAAGGTTGTTGCAAACCAATGTAATTATCGTGTTAGTTTTAAATCAAAGAAACTCACTGATAATGATAAACAGGTAAGCTACGTACATGAAGGGAAACAGGCAAACTAGCATGACTAGACTAGGGAATCATGATAATATATAAAAATACATACATGTAAGGTTATTAATATCATCATGATTATTGATATTATTTGTCTGTTCGGAAAGACTTCCATATACCATGTAGGCTAGCTCTACTGAGTGGAGCGTTGAATTACGGGTACCCCTCCATGTATGGAGGGGTACCCGTAATTCAACGCTCCACTCAGTAGAGCTACATGTAGGCCTATACGGATGTCACAAATTTCTCCCTGCAATGATTTGTCAGCCATCAGAAAGCGAAAACATGTCCAAAATTTAAAAAAAGGGCATAATTTGCATGAAAAATATTGAGAAAACACTCCCCAGTCAGACCAGCCTCATCATGCCCATACTGTTTGTACGGTTACCGTTTGTACACAGGGTGTCATTCAAGAGACGTCCCGACAGTCCGTGTAACATGTGTAACTTGTTATAAATGGAATTCTTAATTTCTTTCCGTCTGTTCATTCGATTCAGTCACCTAGTCCTAGCACAACTTAATAATAGATTTCTATGTTATTTATGTTAATTATTAAGATATATTAACATTTTTTTCATGACATAATATTAATATTATTACATTAGTATAGACTAGTAGTATGGGTGTAGGCCTAGGTCTACATTTACAAATGTTTCATACCAACCCGCCAGTAATCTGTGTGGTGGTTGAATACTGCAGGTGCAAGACACAGCGTCGTAATGTTGCCAAGCAGATTCCAGCCAGACCAACTGCGACAACCCGGCGAAGATTGAAGGTTTTCATTCCTTCAAGTTCCCACGTAACGTTTCGCTGCTTCTATTTACATCGCCAGGTCTTTTTATATCTACGTTACGTATCATTCTGCGTGTTGGTTTCATAACCGGACCGCAGTGTCCAAGTTATGAAACCCTGGCCCTTCGCGCCCTTGTACTGACCTAGCGATTTTGTAACTTCCCGCAGCAGCAAAAAGGTCAATTTAGGTCACCAACTATTACGTCAAAACGCAAGAGGGCGCTATGCATAATTATTTGTAAAATGTGCGATATTCGCCATCGGCCGACCGAGGGTACTCCATTCCCATATTGATATTACGTGCACTTCTAAAAACTATTATAAATACTCATTTCTCTCCAAGGTGTTTGAGACGCCTATCAAATTAAAGCTCATTTCATCATCTTTCATTTTCTGTTCAATTTTTGGGGAGTAATCAGATGACATTTGGGAGAGAATTAAGATGATCACCCCTAGTTTGATTGCCATTTCGGAATGAAAAAATGATACCCCTGGGTCTGGGTATGCCTGCGCTCCATTGCAAAATACTGAGAGCAATTTTTGGGCCCAGCAGTAAGTTCATCCGAATTTCATATAAATACGAGGTTGCAGTCCTAGCCTTGTGCACGGCTTCCACCTATGTCTTCGGTTTTAGACCCTTCAAGTTTATGGCCCACAAAATGCTCCAACGAAAGTAGCAAAAAGTTGAGGGCACACCAAAAAAAGGTGATTCATCATTCGGCCTGCATATACGTAGGCAATGTGGGGCCTTTTTCTAAAGGTCTCGACTCTCGAGGGGAAGGGTAATGTCCCGCTAGAGGGTGCCCTTTAGATGATGGCGTCATAATGATGTTTGGCATCATTCTCACTCAACAAGTTAATTTATCTGTCCGTAGTAAAATGCTTCCGTTTTAAGTTAATTTAATTTTCATTACACCGGAAGTAAAGGTCAAGAGATTTTGTGCCCAGAAATAAGAACTGTTGCCCAAATCACCATATTCCTTCTCATGAAAAATGAACATGATACTTTATTCAGTTCAAAAGATATAGTTCAAACTATTTTGCCCCTAAACCGCTCGTACATCAATATCTAATATAAACGTACGTCCTGATGACGTCACAAATTTATAGCATCTTCGGACCGAGGTCCAAGTTCTTAACAGGTTTCATGATCACCACGTCAACCGTTTGGAAGAAGTCTTGTTTTTTTTTATTTGAGGCTCATTTCTATATTTCTAATTCACCTAACTTTGACCAGCTTCCGGTAGCCCCGGAAGAAAAGGTCAGACGACTCTGACTTTGGTATTAACGTTTATCAAGGTTTTGTCTAAGAGATCACAAAGTACGAACGTGATTGTTCATTTTGTTCACGAATTATAACGTAAAATGGTCACATCTGAACAAAAATCGCTTGTAATTTGAAACCCACGATCATGACGTTAGAGTAAAATGCACCACATGGGATCAGGGTCGGTATATGTTCAAAGTTACAAGTTTATACTACAAGCCGTTTAGGAGAAAACCCACGGAAAATTATTGTCCGGAAAAATGGAACAAAGATTAATAATTACGATATCAAAATGTCGCATACCCGATCACCCAACTAAAGCCCAACATTCGTTTCTTTAATCCGGAACTTTTACGCTTTTGTGTACACCCATACGAGGAACGTGCATTGGCTCCCTATGATGCTACAATGCATGATGTTATATAGCTGCTCATTCCTACATCAATAATGTTTTACATGCACAATAGCAAAAACAAATCGTCTCAAAACGTACATTTTACAGTTCCTCGTGATTAAGACTGACGCCTTCTGGCTTGCGACAGTGGCCCATAAAAACAATGGCTTTAGTCTTCGAATCTGCGATAAAGAACAGAAATGGATGATCAGCAATGAACTCCGGAGCAAGACTGATGGAGCGCTTGTTGATGGTTACGGCTGTCGCTGCGGCTGCTTCGCTTCCTTCCTCATTCACTTCAAGAAAAGCTCGATGGATGACACTGGATACAAACAGATCTCTCGTGCCCGTTATACCAGATAAATCAGCTTTATCCCGAACGAACAGATCTCGCATTCCCATGCTGTACAAAACATCATTCATGTGTAAAGTCTCCTCTAGTTTGAATTTCGGGATCGCCACACCAACGGTCACGTTGGAGAGGTTGTTGAGGAGATGCTGCAACTTCTCATTTGTGAGATGCTTTTGAAGTCTGTCGATCCCGTCAATCTCATCAGGAAGAACCACAATCATGCTGAAATCTTGACCCACATAGGGTAGTTCTATTAGCTTACACCGCAGGGTGATGTCCTCCGCGAAGTTGAATTTGGACTTCCGATGCATCATCGGAACTTCGAGGACCTGGTCTTTTGAAACGTGGAAATCCTGATCGAACGTCTTTGATTTGTCAAATTGACGGACCCAGTCTGCCTTGAAGTAGATGGCATTAACGAGGACGAGTTGAGTCATTCCAGTGATGGATCCGTGGGGCAGAAGATCTCGAATCTTGTCCTCCGTTTCTCGTCCGACCCAAGAATTGATGAATTCACGAGCTACCTCCGTGTCCTCGACAAAATCAAGACTTGCCATGTGGCTACTGTAATACCGTTCAGCATCCGCCAGAAATTCCTGCCTCAGGTCAAAACCTTTGTGACCAAAAAGGCGGTTTGCTTTTCTGAGGACGTACTTGTCAGCATTCGCGCCGAAGATGGCGGAGTTGAGCTCGGCAAAAGAGGAATGGAGACGAGATTCCTCCAAGGTGCTGAACTTGAGGACATCTTTAATTTGTCTTGCGGTGTTTCCACGCGCTCCCAGAGATGTCATAGCCAGGGCGATTGAAATGCTCATCGGGGAAAAGAAGATGTTATCACGGTGAGGGTCGTCGGCAAGTGTTTGATAAAGATGAAAGGCAAATCTGTTGTTGGCGTCAGCAAGTTCTAACTGAGGGTCTGGGCCGGTTGATGTAGCAAAGACGCTCATATAGAGTAGAGCAATAACAGTGAGAATACTAATGATTTGGATGACCGCCATGATGGAATCTGGTCTTGATGACGTGACAAGCAAGGTCAATTTGTACATGTAAATCACCTGCAAGTAAAGAAAGAAAACTATATTGTTCTTGTTTGAACTAATGAAATATGCATGGTTATTATGTGAAGTACATGTATTTGTCGCTAGTTCAATGATAACAATTATAATGCTCATCGTGATACAACAGGATGAGTAAAACTGAAAAACCGAAACCCAAATGTTGGGACCATTGTTTTAGTGAAGTTCTGCATGCAGCACTTTCAAAATCTGGAATACGAAAGCCAAGTTTATAAGCTTGCATTTAGTACAAGAACCATTCAAATCACTCATGCACTTTTCAAGTTACGGAATTATAAACACAACCACCGTTTTAAAGTTCTGCCCACGGATCACAAAAAGGTTAACAGTAACTGTTCTTTCAGCAAAACGAAAACGATTCACACAGAGATGGGATGCGAGTGAATTGTTTTTGTTTTGCTGAAAGAACACACACCTTTTTGTGATCCGTGGACAGAGCTTTAAAACGGTGGTTGTGTTTAAATTTCCGTAACTTGAAAAGTAAATGAGTGATTTGAATGATTCTTGTACAAAAAGAAAGCTTATGAATTGGGCTTTCATATCCTATGATTTCGAAAGTGCTACATGCAGAACTTCACTAAAACAATAGTCCCGACATTTGGGTTTCGTTTTTTTTTTTACTCACCCTGTATATAGAGTGCAGGCTGTTCTCCAGCTATGAGTCATTTTGATTCATAGAGAAGGAAGTAATGAAAATATGGCTGAACGAAATAGACAATTAATATTGCATCCTTGAATAAATTAATTATCGTATCATACTCCTCACAGCCAATACGGCTAGTGTGATACAATACACTCTATTATCTATGGACCTTGTACGGCCACGTGTTGATTTTCGCACGAGTCGCATAAAATGTTTAAGTCTACATGGACAAATCTGCAATTGGCGTTGGAACGAAGGCCGTCCCGTTCTCATGCCGAGGACAGAACAATAAAGCATTGAAATGTCTGTCAATTCAACGCAACCCCTATTATTATGAACCTCACATAATGCACGTAGACCTTGCATGTCGCACGTACACGTCGGCCTATCATAACATTCTTTTTTTATTTTTCAGATTATTTCCGGCCTTATCTTCCGTCCCAGTCCCAAGTTCATAGCCCAATCGTCCACGTCGGAATACAGATAACGTAGGCCTATGCCTTTAAGTTTGGAATTGTGGTTCTCAATACACTTTGCTGTGGTTAGATTCATTTCAGTTTTGTCATTGTGTACACTCGACACTGCACTTGGCTGTGCTTTAGTTTCATCTGTGTAAAGTGTGTGGAATACATGTACATTGTACATGTATCTCATCGGCAAATACGGTACTCCTCAGTATATATGTAGGGCACAGTGCACTTTGGACCAAAACGATTGTCAGCTGTCCAGATACCTGTATGCACACGAGTCTGAAATACGTCTGTCCATATTTGCCAGAAAAACCAAATGTTTTGTCCATTGATTATTGCATTAAATTAGATATTTCTTGTTGCATCTTGTGATGTGGCATGTGGCAAATGTTGCATTTAGGATGTGTTTTCCCATGACTAATATGCGAACATGGATGTTTGCCAAAAACAAAAAATTCTCCCATTAGCAGGGAAGTGTCTCTTAATTGGATCATAGCGCAAGCCTGAAATAACTACTTCCTGAGCTTACACTTATTTCCTATCAAATACTCCCATATGGCGTTAGCACATTCAGCTAGCATATAGGCCCTTTGCACGAATTTAGGGTATCACTCAATATAAAATAATTATTAAACAAACAAAAACCACTTGTTCACAACTGTTTTAGCTTGCAAATTGTATATTCAATATAAAATTGTCGTATATTTTGTCAACATTATGTACAGGACATATCTATAAACTGGAGATTAGCAACTGTTATAAACTGGATGAAATAATCTTTTCTATCCAAAAATAAACCACTGATTGTACATAATTTATTACATGATCATTACGTACATAATTATAATTTTTATCGCCCACTCTCATTTTATAAGCACTTTAGAAACTAGGTTATGGACAAAACAAAGCAATGATTGATGTTTCATTTTTCAGGCAAGATCTCATACTTAAACAACTTGACCCAATGTCAGCTTCATATCATTAAAATTTCTAACATGACTAAAAGTATTTATAGAATATAAATTTCTTCTATAAACTACAAAGAAACAATCGTAGAGTATTCATTATGATTATTTATATAGGAATTGGGTTCGTAGCATAGTACTTTATATTAATTAGTTTCATTAGAGAAACTTGCTAATTGTAGAACAGATACCCGTCCCAATAGGCCTAAGACATAATGACGTCAAAGTTTGTTTACTTGTGCACTTTCCTATGTGATAGACGGTCCCCACTTAATCTGGTGTCCCGACTTCGCTCCCATCGGAAAGCGCATTATGTAAACAAAGCCATTACGTCATTACGTCTCATCAGGTCTATTGAACAGCGGAACAGAGAATTTACTCATCATAAAAACATTGCAATGTACTCAACGCAAACATGTAATTGTATGCAACTTCAAAACATATTTTCGTATAACAACCTCTTATCTTTGCAGTAAAGTGATCAGTACATGGCGATAGTTTACCAATTATGGGCAGGGAAGGGGAGGGGGTGGAGGGGGACACAGGCATGTATTTCCGAGGACATTTCCACCGGAACCCATTCCTTTTTCACTGGGGGAATCCCCCATTATGGTGTCACCCTCTGGTTTGCAGAGTTGTCCTATGAAAAGAATTGCCCCAGTCTTGTTGTCACAAATAAACACCAAGAAAGGATGGTCTGCCTTGAACTCCAGGGTTCTGGCAGGCATACATGAAGTAGGAGCTTGCATGACCACGGCAGTAGCTGCTGCTGCCTCACTGCCTTCCTCATTCACATCTAAGAAAGCCTTGTGGATCACTTTGGATATGAAGAGATCTTTGTCGCCTGTCATCCCTGAGAAGTCTGCTCTGTCTTGGTCGAATGGATCAGGCATACCCATCGCTTTTAAGACATCATTCAAGATAAAATCTTGATCCAGAATAAACTTTGGAAGCGACAATGCCACGGTAGGAGAGTTCCTAATGCGAGTTTCTCTCACCCAGGAATCAATCTTTTCTGGACTCAACTTCTGCTGCACATCAGCCAGCCCATCCACTTGATCAGGTAACACAATGAACATGCTCACTTCATTCTTGATGTAAGGTAGCTCCAGGATAGAACTGCGCACGGAATCGTCACGAGCGTAGTTGAACTTGCCTCTCTGGTGCATCATGGGAACATTCACGTACCCACCCACAGTACGAAACTTCTCATCAAATGTGCCATGATGTTTAAACTTGGCAGTCCATTGTCCTTTGAAGTAGATGGCATTGACAAGCACCAAGCGAGTCAAAGCGTCGATAGATCCTGCAGGAAGTAAGTCTTTGATGCGGTTTGCAGTTTGCTTCTCCACCCAGGAGTTGATGTGTTGACGAGAACCTTCCCCATCACAAATGAAATCAAGTGTCTCCATACTGGCTCCGTAGTATTTCTTGCTGTCATCAACAAATGTCGCAAGGACATCCAAGCCTTTTTTACCAAACAATCTGTTGGCAGCTTTCAGAGTGTAAGGAGCATCAGCGCGGGAAATCAGAGCACTCAGGTCAGCAAATGACTGATGAAGAACAGATTCTTTTAAGATGTTGAAGTGAAGTACTTGACTCATCTGGCTTGCTGTCTCACCACGTGCCCCCATGAAGGTCATAGCAAGTGCAGTGGAGATGCTCATAGGAGAAAAGAAGATGTTGTTGTTGGAGCTTCCTCTCTCAGTCAACACTCAGAAGAGATTAGATGCAAAGGTGTTACTAGCCCTGGCAGCAGTTTGAGCCAGACGGACATCTTGGGGGTGCTTGCTTGCCATGGTTACAAAAATGGATGTTACTGGAAATGAAAAGAGCATGAAACCACTTTAATTCTTGCTGACCGTATAATTCCTTTCGAACATCCAAGCTTTCTTTCTAGCTCGCTCGTGTCACTGAGCAAGCTGCAAAAAAACCCTAAGTGCTACATACTGTGCACAAAGACCGACTTTAAAGACTCCAGCTAGTCTCTACTTTTTCCTAGTTTGTTCTTTATAGAAAGACTCTCTTTGCATATATTTAAGCCCCAAAAATGCCATAGTAAACAAAGTGACAAGTTTAATTCAAATCAAAGGTGCTTAAATTGCAAATTTTAATTAGCACAATCGCATAATCTACATTTACCATTAGAGATGCATGTATCATATCAAAATGTAATTTTGCATTAAATCATATTCTTACATGTGAATAACATAATTTGAGAGACTTCTAGATCCGAACAAATGAACTTGCAGAACAATACCAGAATATATTGTTTATGGCACTACAGTGGGTCTACTTTTCATCGTGTATCTTATGTTATACATACAGGTACATGCAATCTGTGATTATTCTACAAAAATGCAAGGTTTACTGTTCAGTAATAGTTTACATACATTTCTACTCCACTAAAATTTCAGCTTATAACATGTATAAAGTCACAATGTATTAATCTGAACCTAAGTCAATTTATCCATATTTACATTATAAGCAATTTCAGTCAATTTCCAATGATCAAGGTTTCATATAGGCCTAATCTTACAAACCACTACTTCAATATTTCAGATTCTCCAGATATTACACTAGCACTTAGGCCAACAAAAAAAATTCTCCGGTTTCTGGTATGCGCGCGCGTCGCCGTAGCCATGCGCGTCGGCAAAATGAAAAAGTTTTTTTTTCAATGAAAGATGATGTCTCAAAACCGTCAAACTCACTGGTTTGACTGGAATCCTGCTGCTGCACAATTTTAACGTGTTTTTAGATTGGGTTATGGTCGAGAATAAGCTTTATGTGGCCTCTCTGGACTCCGATATATTTGCACTAAGTTTAGTCGGGCACCATTTGCAGTCTCAGTCGACATTTGAAGCAAACAAATCAAGTAAAAAAAAAAAAAAAACTGCGTCGCCGCACCACTTTTTGGGCAAGCTCCATACCAGAAACCGGAGACTTTTTTTTTTGGCCTTACAGACTTTTTTTTATGAGTTTTCAACATGTTCTGAGTGATTTTCAGGGGACTTAAACGTACACATTGTTTTGTTAATGTAACAATGTACTTTATCGGTGCCGGAGCCCATTTCTTTGGTGAGGTGTGCCTGAATTTCAATATGACACTGAACCCAAGTTAATTTATCAAAATTTACATTAACATGTATTTAGCGATTTCAGCAATTTTCAAGATGATTCTGATATTTGTTTATTTTGTGGATCTGTTTGAACACAGGTTTCGAGGTTGTACGCTTTGCTCTGGGCAGCCAACACACAACCCTACCGGTACATGTACATGTAACTCCCTACTGTCTTTTACAAGTACTGGACAAAGTCCGTCAAAACCAATCACTCTCTGCGCTGCTTCCAGTACATGACATAATGGAATCCACCACTGAAGTACATGTACAAAATATGTACTGATGGATATTGATAGACTTAGTACACATGGCTTACATGTACATGACAACAGCAGTACAGGATGCTGGGCAAAATCAATCGGATGCCCCTAGCACTGCGCTTCAGGCCTCCAGGCCCAAGCCCATCATACTCCATCAATATTTAGTGAAACTAGGCTTGTACTTTGTAGGGCCAAGTCCCCCCCCCCTAAAAACACCAAAACTGGAGATGAATTTTGATGGAGTTGGGGGAGTGGCCTATGACAATGTTTGAGGGAACCAATGTGCTTCAAATGTGTTCAAATTGCAGATGTTTATGTTTTTGATTTTATTACAAAGAATCCATAACTTTTCTAACTTTCTGTATGCACCGTATAACTCCATTACACGTGTAACACTGATATAAAAGCCGGTTGCATCTACATTAATCTGTCAGTCTCGATTCAAATATGTCCTGATTGTAAACATTAATAACTGTTTGGTATTAATGTAGAATCTTTGAATAATTTTATGTTACATTCATCTCAAGCTTCTATGGTACACTTTTTGTTTCACTGCCTACCCCTAGCAACAAACCAACATTTCTTTATAAATTCAACATGAAAAAAATATCCCACCTATATTATATGCTTTTCATAGCAGTTAGAGAACAAGTGGTTATTTTAACTTTATATTACATGTACATGTATGTTATCCTTTTGTTAAAACAATTTGCATGTGAAACTTCCCTTATTCCTAAAAAGGTTATGTGTGTGCATTACACAAATATCATAAATGTTGTTTATTTCAAGTGGCTCAAGACACCAGCTACAGTCATTGCCAATTCTCCAAAAAGAAGATATTTTTTTGCAGAAAATCAAAGTCTACTGTGTTGGTTTGCACAGCTGTCCCACAAACAGAACTGCTCTTGATTTTTTGTCATAAATGAACAACAAGAAAGGGTGATCTGCCTTGAATTCCAGAGGCTTCATCGGTCGAGCACAACCTCTGGACTGAGACACAGCTGTAGCAGCTGCTGCCTCACTGCCTTCTTCATTCACGTCTAAGAAAGCCTTGTGGATCACTTTGGATATGGAGAGATCTTTGTCTCCTGTCATCCCTGAGAAGTCAGCCTTGCCAACATCAAATGGATCATTCATACCCATCTTCCTCAAGACATCATTCAAGACAAAGTCTTCCTCAAGGGTAAACTTTGGCAGAGACACGATGACGGTAGGACCGTCACGCATACTACGAGCTTCTGTCACCCAGTAGTCGATCTTCTCTTGACTCAACTTCTTCTGCACATCAGCCAGCCCATCCACTTGATCAGGTAACACAATGAACATGCTCACTTCCTTCTTGATGTAAGGTAGCTCCAGGATAGAACTGCTAACGGAACCGTCACGCCCAAAGTTGAACTTGCCTCTCTGATGCATCATGGGAACATCAATATCCTCAGTTGCCGAAATGTGAAACTTCTCAGGAGATGTGTTGGAGACTTGAAACTTGGCAGCCCAATCTCCTTTGAAGTAGATGGCATTGACCAGCACCAAGCGAGTCAAAGCATCAATAGATCCTGCAGCAAGTAAGTCTTTGATGCGGTTTGCAGTTTGCTTCTCCACCCATGAGTTGATGTGTTGACGAGAACCTTCCCCATCACCGATGAAATCAAGTGTCTCCATACTGGCTCCGTAGTATTTCTTGCTGTCATCAACAAATGTCGCAAGGACATCCAAACCTTTATGGCCAAACAATCTGTTGGCAGCTTTCAGAGTGTAAGGAGCATCAGCGCGGAAAATCAGAGCACTCAGGTCAGCAAATGACTGGTGAAGAACAGATTCTTCTAACATGTTGAAGTGAAGTACTTGACTCATCTGGCTTGCTGTCTCACCACGTGCCCCCATGAAGGTCATAGCAAGTGCAGTGGAGATGCTCATAGGAGAAAAGAAGATGTTGTTGGAGCTTCCTCCCTCAGTCAACACTCGGAAGAGATTAGATGCAAAGGTGTTACTAGCCTTGGCAGCAGTTTGAGCCAGACGGACATCTTGGGGGTGCTTGCTTGCCATGGCTACAAAAATTGATGTTACTGGAAATGAAAAGAGCATGAAACCACTTTAATTCTTGCTGACCGTATAATTCCTTTCGAACATCCAAGCTTTCTTACTTTCATACTCTGCACAATGACCGACTTTAAAGATTCCAGCTGGTCTTAAATTTTTCTTAATTTGTTCTTCCTTCACATATTTTAAGCCCCTTAAATGCTGTAGTAAACAAAGTGACAAGTTTAATTCAAATCAAAGGTGCTTAAATTGCAAATTTTAATTAGCACAATCGCATAATATACATTTACCATTAGAGATGCAAGTATCATATCAAAATGTAATTTTGCATTAAATCATATTCTTACATGTGAAGAACAAAATTTAAGAGACTTCTAGATCCGAACAAATGAACTTGCAGAACAATACCAGAATATATTGTTTATGGCACTACAGTGGTTCTACTTTTCATCGTGTATCTTATGATATACATACAGGTACATGCAATCTGTGATTATTCTACAAAAATGCAGGATTTACTGTTCAGTACTAGTTTACATACATTTCTACTTCACTAAAATTTCAGCTTATAACATGTATAAAGTCACAATGTATTAATCTGAACCTAAGTCAATTTATACATATTTACATTATAAGCAATTTCAGTCAATTTCCAATGATCAAGGTTTCATATAGGCCTAATCTTACAAACCACTTCTTCAATATTTCAGATTCTCCAGATATTACACTAGCACTTACGCCCAAAAAAAAAAGTCTCTGGTTTCTGGTATGAGCGCGCATCGCCGTAGCCATGCGCGTCGGCAAAATGAAAAAGTTTTTTTATCAATGAAAGATGATGTCTCAAAACCGTCAAACTCACTGGTTTGACTGGAATCCTGCTGCTGCACAATTTTATCGTGTTTTTATATTGGGTTATGGTCGAGAATAAGCTTTATGTGGCCTCTCTGGACTCCCATATATTTGCACTAAGTTTAGTCGGGCACCATTTGCAGTCTCAGCCGACATTTGAAGCAAACAAATCAGGTAAAAAAAAAAAAAGCTGCGTCGCCGCACCACTTTTTGGGCAAGCTCCATACCAGAAACCGGAGACTTTTTTTTTTGGCCTTAGTGATTTTCAGGGGACTTAAACGTACACATTGTTTTGTAAATGTATCAATGTACTTTATCGGTGCCGGAGCCCATTTCTTTGGTGAGGTGTGCCTGAATTTCAATATGACACTGAACCTAAGTTAATTTATCCAAATTTACATTAACATGTATTTAGCGATTTCAGCAATTTTCAAGATGATTCTGATATTTGTATATTTTGTGGATCTGTTTGAACACAGGTTTCGAGGTTGTACGCTTTGCTCTGGGCAGCCAACACACAACCCTACCGGTACATGTACATGTAACTCCCTACTGTCGTTTACAAGTACTGGACAAAGTCCGTCAAAACCAATCACTCTCTGTGCTGCTTCCAGTACATGACATAATGGAATCCACCACTGAAGTACAAATGTACATATGTACAAAATGTACTGATGGATATTGATTGACTTATTTAGTACACATGGCTTACATGACAACAGCAGTACAGGATGCTGGGCAAAATCAATCAGATGCCCGAGCACTACGCTTCAGGCCTCCAGGCCCAAGCCCATCATACTCCATCAATATTTAGTGAAACCAGGCTTGTAGGGCCAACATTCCACCAAAATTGGAGATGAATTTTGATGGAGTTGGGGGGGGGTGGCCTATGACAATGTTTGAGGGAACCAATGTGCTTCAAATGTGTTCAAATTGCAGATGTTTATGTTTTTGATTTTATTACAAAGAATCCATAACTTTTCTAACTTTCTGTATGCACCGTATAACTCCATTACACGTGTAACACTGATATAAAAGCCGGTTGCATCTACATTAATCTGTCAGTCTCGATTCAAATATGTCCTGATTGTAAACATTAATAACTGTTTGGTATGAATGTAGAATCTTTGAATAATTTTATGTTACATTCATCTCAAGCTTCTATGGTACACTTTTTGTTTCACTGTCTACCCCTAGCAACAAACCAAAATTTCTTTATAAATTCAACATGAAAAAAATCTCCCACCTGAAGTTCCTGTACATGTACATGATGTCTGTAACTTTTTCTAAAAAAACAACAATAAATTGTTCGAGCAAAAATAAAGTTCTATATTATATGCTTTTCATAGCAGTTAGAGAACAAGTGGTTATTCTAACTTTATATTACATGTACATGTATGTTATCCTTTTGTTAAAGCAATTTGCATGTGAAATTTCCCTTATTCCTAAAAAGGTTATGTGTGTGCATTACACAAGTATCATAAGTGTTGTTTATTTCAAGTGGCTCAAGACACCAGCTACAGTCATTGCCAATTCTCCAAAAAGAAGATATTTTTGGCAGAAAATCAAAGTCTACTGTGTTGGTTTGCACAGCTGTCCCACAAACAGAACTGCTCTTGATTTATTCTCATAAATGAACAACAAGAAAGGGTGATCTGCCTTGAATTCCAGAGGCTTCATCGGTCGAGCACGACCATAGGACTTCAACACTACAGCTGTAGCAGCTGCTGCCTCACTGCCTTCTTCATTCACGTCTAAGAAAGCCTTGTGGATCACTTTGGATATGGAGAGATCTTTGTCTCCTGTCATCCCTGAGAAGTCAGCCTTGCCAGCATCAAATGGGTCACTCATACCCATCTTCCTCAAGACATCATTCAAGACAAAGTCCTGCTCCAGGGTAAACTTTGGCAGAGACACGATGACAGTAGGACTGTCACGCATACGAGCTTCTGTCACCCAGGAGTCAATCATCTCTTGACTCAACTTCTTCTGCACATCAACCAGCCCATCCACTTGATCAGGTAACACAATGAACATGCTCACTTCATTCTTGAGGTAAGGTAGCTCCAGGATAGAACTGCTAACGGAATCGTCACGCCCAAAATTGAACTTGCCTCTCTGATGCATCATGGGAACATCAAAATCCTCAGTTGCCGAAATGTGAAACTTCTCAGGAGATGTCTTTGAGACTTGAAACTTGGCTGCCCAGTCTCCTTTGAAGTAGATGGCATTGACCAGCACCAAGCGAGTCAAAGCGTCGATAGATCCTGCAGCAAGTAAGTCTTTGATGCGGTTTGCAGTTTGCTTCTCCACCCAGGAGTTGATGTGTTGACGAGAACCTTCCCCATCACCAATGAAATCAAGTGTCTCCATACTGGCTCCGTAGTATTTCTTGCTGTCATCAACAAAATTCGCAAGGACATCCAAACCTTTATGGCCAAACAGTCTGTTGGCTGCTTTCAGAGTGTAAGGAGCATCAGCGCGGAAAATCAGAGCACTCAGGTCAGCAAATGACTGGTGAAGAACAGATTCCTCTAAGATGTTGAAGTGAAGTACTTGACTCATCTGGCTTGCTGTCTCACCACGTGCCCCCATGAAGGTCATAGCAAGTGCAGTGGAGATGCTCATAGGAGAAAAGAAGATGTTGTTGGAGCTTCCTCCCTCAGTCAACACTCGGAAGAGATTAGATGCAAAGGTGTTACTAGCCTTGGCAGCAGTTTGAGCCAGACGGACATCTTGGGGGTGCTTGCTTGCCATGGTTACAAAAATTGATGTTACTGGAAATGAAAAGAGCACGAAACCACTTTAATTCTTGCTGACCGTATAATTCCTTTCGAACATTCAGGCTTTCTTTCTAGCTCGCTCGTGTCCCTGAGCAAGCTGCAAAAAAACCTAAGTGCTACATACTGTGCACAAAGACCGACTTTAAAGACTCCAGCTAGTCTCTACTTTTTCCTAGTTTGTTCTTTATAGAAAGGCTCTCTTTGCATATATTTAAGCCGCAAAAATGCCGTAGTAAACAAAGTGACAAGTTTAATTCAAATCAAAGGTGCTTAAATTGCAAATTTTAATTAGCAAAATGGCATAATATACATTTACCATTAGAGATACATACATATCATATCAAAATGTAATTTTGCATTAAATCATATTCTTACATGTGAATAACATAATTTGAGAGACTTCTAGATCCGAACAAATGAACTTGCAGAACAATATCACAATATATTGTTTATGGCACTACAGTGGGTCTACTTTTCATCGTGTATCTTATGTTATACATACAGGTACATGCAACCTGTGATTATTCTACAAAAATGCAAGATTTACTGTTCAGTAATATTTTACATACATTTCTACTTCACTAAAATTTCAGCTTATAACATGTATAAAGTCACAATGTATTAATCTGAACCTAAGTTAATTTATCCATATTTACATTATAAGCAATTTCAGTCAATTTCCAATGATCAAGGTTTCATATAGGCCTAATCTTACAAACCACTACTTCAATATTTAAGATTCTCCAGATACACATGTATTTCACTTACACTTCCTAATTTTTGTAGTAATTATCAGGGGACTTAACCATACACATTGTTTTGTAAATGTAACAATGTACTTTATCGGTGCCGGAGCCCATTTCTTTGTTGAGGTGTGCCTGAATTTCCAGATGATACTGAACCTAAGTTACTTGATCCAAATTTACATTTACAAGTACATGTTTTTGTATTTAGCGATTTCAGCAGTTTTCAAGATGATTCTGATACCTGTATTTGTTTATTTTGTGGATCTGTTTTAACACAGCTTTCGAGGTTGTACATGTACGCTTTACTCTGTGCAACCAACATACATCCCTAACCCCCTACTGTTTTTTTTTTACGAAGTACAGGAACAAGTCTGCCAAAGTCCATTATACAACGCTGCTTCCAATACCATGAACACAATGGAATCCACCACTGAAGTTCTGGTGGATACTGTTGGACTTTGTACACATGGCTTAGGCCAAAAAAATAAAGTCTCCGGTTTCTGGTATGGAGCTTGCCCCAAAAGTGGTGCGGCGACGCGGCTTTTTTTTTTTTTACCTGATTTTTTTGCTTCAAATGTCGGCTGATGACTGCAAATGGTGCCCGACTAAACTTAGTGCAAATATATGGGAGTCCAGAGAGGCTACATAAAGCTTACTCTCGACCATAACCCAATCTAAAAACACATTAAAATTGTGCAGCAGCAGGATTCCAGTCAAACCAGTGAGTTTGGCGGTTTTGAGACATCATCTTTCATTGAAAAAAAAAACCTTTTTCATTTTGCCGACGCGAATGGCTACGGCGACGCACGCGCATACCAGAAACCGGAGACTTTTTTGGGGGGGCCTTATATGACAACAGAAGTACAGGATGCTAGGCAAAAATCAATGGGATACCCCTAGCACTGCTTGAGGCCTCCATGCCCAAGTCCATCATACTCCATCAATACTTAGTCAAACCAGGCCTGCAGGACCAAGTCCCCTATAATCCACCAAAATTGGGGATGAAGTTTGATGGAGTTGGGGGAGTGGCCTTTTACAATGTTTGAGGAAACCAATGTGCTTTGTGTTCTAATTGCAAAGGTTTAAGCTTTAGATTTTATTTCAAAGTATTCATAAATTTGTCTAACTTTCTGTATGAACATGATTTTACATCTCAAATATGTGCAACGCTAAAATAAAAGCCTGTTGCAAATACATACTTGTACATTGATCTTTCAGTCTCAATTCAAATACTTCCTGATTATAAACATCAATCATTTTTGATGTAGAATCTGTGAATATTTTCATAACTGTTACATTCATCACAAGCTTCTATGGTACACTTTTTGTTTCACTTTCCATCCACTGGCAACAAAACAAAATTTCTTTATAATTTTCAACATGAACAAAATCTCCAACCTAAATTTCCTGTACATGTAATGTACATGTAGATGTACATGTCTGTACGGTAACTTCTC